GATGCTGACCTACTCTTACGCGCCGATCGAAGCACAGAAGCTGGAACCCACGGACTATCCGTACGCCGTGCTGAATGTTCCCGCTTACTCGAGTGCCTCGTCCTGTATGCTCTACGATCCCCCGATTGAGGAATTCAGCGTGGTCAAGACGGACCTCTACCGGACTGGGGCCAAGGCGACCTTTGACGGTCTGGCCGGCCCCAGTATCGTGATCTGCACCGGCGGCAGCGGAAAGATTACCGTGGGCCACAAGACGGAGGAGATCCACGAGGGCTATGTGTTCTTCGTCGGTGCCACCGCTGAGTGCGCTATTGAGAACACGGGGACGAAGCCGGATGAAGAGAACGCCTTCACCACTTTCAAGGCATTTTGCGATTTGACAGGCAAGGAGGATATGGTCAATGGACACTAGACAGTAGGCCTGGATCAATGTATCAGTCTACCAAGGAAAATATAAATATCGCGGAATAATAGTGCATCTATTCCAAGGATGACAATCTCAATTTCTACCACACATACCCGACCAACCCCAGAGCCCAAAACCACTTACTTAGGCACCGCCTCAATAACCGACATCAACTTCGGATCATACGGCAAAATACTCAACACCCTCAAACCCGCCCTATCCAACAACGCCTTCCACTCCCTCGTAGTCCGCTCAGCACCCCCATTCGCCGCAAACATCGTAACGTCAATATAAACCGCAAACTCCGGCACATCCCTCTCCGGCAACACCATCTCATCAATAATAATGCGCGAGTCCGGCGCCATAACAGGAACAATATTCCTCAGAATCCGCACACACTCCTCATCCGGCCAATCATGCAGCACCCGCCTCATATAGTAGAACTTCGCCCTCTCAATCGGCTGCGGCGTGAAGAAGTCATGCGCAATCAACTCCACCCCCTCAGCGGGACCCGCCCCCGCCAGCGTCTCCGGCATATCCTGCACGACGACCCGGCCGGGGACATCGCTGAATTTGGTCCGGAAGGCGATGGCTTGCTGGCCCTGGCAGCCGCCGAGGTCGATGAGGAGCGTTTCGCTGGGGGAAGAATGGTGGGTTTCGGAGCGGACGGGATACACGTCGAACCACCAGTTGTCGTAGTACATCATTTTCATGCCCTTTTCGAAATGCTCCATGTGTTCGGGGTGCTGGGTGAGGTATTCGAAGGAGGTTAGGGTTGTGTTGTGGGCTTGTTGGAAGGCGGTGTCTTTGCTGGAGGTGACGGGTTTGTAGGCGCGGGATTTGAGGAAGGAGGGGAGGGCGCTGAAAGCTGGGCCGAAGAGGTCGTATCTTTTAAGGGGTGGTTAGTTGGTGGTTTGATGTATGAGTAGGGGAGGGGGGGGGGAGGTGGTGGTGGCTCACTGGTGCGATAGCAGCGCTGAGGCATGCTCGTCGGCGCATATGCCGGTCAGACGATTGGCCTTGAATTTGTCGTCGCCGGTCTGGTCGATCAGATTGAAAGTCGCCTGTGCGCGCAGGACTCGCTCTATAAATACTTAGCAGAGTCTTCATCATATGAGCTCATCCCCAAGAGATATATGATCTCGTTACGCACCTAAGAGCTCCGGAGCAGCACCCGACTTCTCTGCCAACTGCGCCGTCGAGAGCGACTCTCCATGGTCTCTGAGCATCTTAAACGTACCAAGATCAATTCCGACCTTGGCCATACCGAACCTGACTGGCTTTTCGTTGGGTTAGGGTTAGCCAGGCTCATATGTGTGGGAGTGGTATGTCGAGATTAGATCACTCACTCCATCTGCCATCAAGCTGACAAGATCCAGATCAGACCGGAAGAAGGTCTGAAGGTTGTTGAGCTCATTCTTGATGCTCTTGCGGGTGTCTTCGTCCGCTTGGGTGTATATGTTCTTGATTTGCTGGATGGCTGCGTCCATGGTTGTTGCTGTGCTCGCGTGAGACTGGTACAGTATGTAGGGTTGGAGATTTGATGGGACTGCTGGATTGTATCTAGAGATACAGGGTCTTATTTATACGCATGTGCCTCTCGTACAGTTCGAGAGTAGGACAAAGAAAAGTATACCCTTTTCGAGAGCAAACCCTAGTGGTGGGATAAGCAGAAGCAACTTGCAGGATCAGGGTTCCTAGCGTCTATTCTCGATTTTGAGTTTATATTACCGTATTTGTTTTATCTCCATCTTCTGTCCTTCTTGGTGGTCAATATCAAATAATGTTTACTATCCTCCTCCTACCGGGCTACAACTCTGCTCTCTTCCGTACCAGCAAGATAGACCTCAGAAAACGATTGATATTTCCTCAACTCGACAGTACGAATGCAACATCGCACATACCCATCAATTAACAGATACTGGTCACTGCGCAGTAAGCTGAGACAACATGCCCAATGCTGACCATGCAGCGTTTTGAAGGTTGCACAAGCACGACCTTGGACATCAGCCATCTGAAGAAAGATCTCAATCAGCTGGAAAAAACATTTCTCACAGAGTATACCATCTGCCGGGCCACCAAACAGTGCGTTTCTTGTACCAGTAGGGCAGTAAAAACCCCCTGTAGATCTCGCTGTGCATGCTAACCATTCCAGCCAGCGTTGCCGTCAACATGTTCCCCTTCTGTACAACCAACCAATCTGACCATTTCATAAGATCGCATTCCACGCATGAGATTTCTTGCAGAGTCAGCTCGGCATAATGGCGCTCGTGCAGAAAGAAATGCCGCGGAAAAGGGAAAATTCTATATCTATATCCGCTTAGGAAGCTGGCTGACTGAAGATTCCAGGTCATCATGGGGTCTTAGATGTTGGTAGCACCACCACCAGTCTGGATTCTAATTCTTGGAGGATATTGGAGAAATGTGATTCAATGATTGGGTTCCGCGCGTCTGACTGGTCTGCAGGTGGACAGCGAGCCAGTTGATATCTCAATTGTGGGACGTGGTCGTCCGTTCCATGAGAATTGCAAGCCATGTGTTTAGGCAGTACTTCTGATGTTAGGAATTGATGGTATTCTAGATAGTGATCAATCAACAAAAATAGTAATAAAGAAGTTTTGTATGATTTGATAGATGAGGTTAGATATATACCGCACCATGATATATATCTGTGGCTGTGTCTGAGCTGTATCAAGTTCCCTTGTTTATAAATATATATTTCTGGCGAAAATTGTTGGAATACATGCTGTTGATAAAGCTGATACGAGCAATGGTTGGGAAGTCAAGCCTTCAGAAGAATTATTCAACTCTTGATTCAGTCAGTGACAGTCCATTGTATAGAATCATGGCATAGTATCTCCATCTGTGGTCTGGTGTGCTGGAAAAGGATCAGCTGACACGTTGTAATGATAGTCTAGTATATACTAAGTGTGCTGTAGATGTACAGCCAGGTCACATATGCCATTCCAAAGAATCATGTTTACTTGGACCAACAGATATAAATAGGGTAACAACTCATGATGCTACATCGCATAGAACATGGACGGAGTGTTGTTGACCGATAAGATAAGGTCAGGAACGGCGGACTTGCTGTCCGGAACCTCGGGTGACTGATTTGTCGGTCCTTTTCACCCCTGAGCTTGTTCCTTTTGACATCACTACACCGGATGAGACTGATTATTCCTCTTCAACTCCGAGAGCTACTTTTTCTATCATCGATTGAACGACTCTCTGTCAACCGCCGTGTCATCGCACCGCGTCACCTGGTCCATTCAGGAACCACCAAAGCCGAGGTCAGAGACTATCTGGGGGCCAAAAACAAGGCGCATCGATAATCGATAGTGGGTTTCGCTCGACTGCGAGTACGCCATCTGCGTGTTGCTGCCGATCCGAAGCTCTCAAAGCACAGATGTCTATCAGTTGGGTTCCGTGCGGGGGATTCCTGGCTGCCTAGGTTCCGCTATCGTCACCGTCTACGGATAGGATACATGTGCTAGCGATTATTGTCTTGGCTCGCAACAACGACCAGCCTTTCGGTCGATTCCTGCCCCCAACGAAGACCAAAACAACTCGATTTCTTGATATTCGTGATTGGAGGAAACTAGGAAGAAGAGGGTGGAAAGTTCGAAAAGAAAGTGACATCATGGCTTGGTATACACTACTGCCCCAGGAGGCCGAAACCTGGGTCGTTCGCATCTTTGTATATCTTCCTTACCCTTCCTTGGTCGTCTGTTCTTTGGACGGTCATTTGTTGATTTCTGAAACTAATGATGATTTCGTGGATAGTTTTTCCTCGGCTTGATGACGATCATTCCCTGGGCGGCCCTCCTCCTCTTCGATCTGACCCTGTACCTTTGGCGAATGCTGGCGTGGGAATTTCCGGTGATTGGGGGCCGGGCGAGGGGACGACGACGACCGCGTGCCCCCAGTTTAAGTGAGAGACCGGATGGACAACGGAGGAAGTTCGGGCTGATGGGACACGACAATACCTATGGGGACAGTGCGGGGGAGCTGAGGAGAAGGACTAAAGGGGGGGAATAGCAAACTTTGTTGTCCATTCATGCTCGCTCGCACCCTTCGTCTCTCACTTTGTTTATGATTTACGGTGCGACTGGATCGCTACCTGGGGTTGGGGCTTGACTGTCTCGGGAGTGTGCTGTGCTGTGGTCAGTGACACCCGGGGATAGCCAGTCCAATGCATCATTCGTCATGAATCGAGGCATGCACATCGCGAGTGGAACCCATGTGATTCTGCTCTTCAACCATGCCTCCGTGTTCACTCTTTATGTTGATTTCGAGAATTCTGTGGTACACGGCCATTCCCACCAAAAGTTACCCAGGTCCATTTTGTCTATCCTTGTCCACATCTTTTGATACCCAGCATTATACATGTATATATCGATACTGATCTTCGAATTGCATATACTAAAGAGACGATGTATTTGATACTCGGTATTCAGGTCAATCAACGTCGAGCGGAGATTGGAGCCAATCACGGCCTGGACGGCTATCTAATTCGCAGGTATATCATCGTAGCCCAGGTACCTTTGTCTTGCATCTTCTCCGCATCTCCCACTTCTACGTGTCCTGAGGATTGAGAACTGTTGTGAGAAATATCGTGTCCACTCCATTCGAATAAACCAGTATTGTACAAGTAATGGCACACCATGGATATATCGACTCATTGATTTTCTACATCGAACGGAACCCCCTCATAATCGTGTTCATCGCCCTCGGAACATGGCTCTTCGGATACTGGAACCGAGTATGTCTCTCGTTCGCTTCGGGACGTCAGGCTATACCAAACAAACCAGCGTTAACCACTGTAGAAGAACCCAACCCTCGATCCCAACAGTCCTGAAAACACACCCCACAATGCAAACAATGGCTACCCGCCGATCGAGCCTCTGCCAGGATTCAACTGGGAAGCGACAGAACCGTTATCATTTCGGCCCTTCAAGCCGAAATACCATCTGACGATGGGTATGTGGCCCTTCCGCGGGCTTATACAGAGACATCATCTAACAACGAGAAGGTCTAAGACAGCTCGACCCTTCTGATTTCCTCCAGATGGACAAAACCTACAAAGACCGTCTCGCGCTGCGGGCCCAGCTTCTGGAGAAGTACCACGACACTGTCGTCGGCGTGAAGGGGGACAGCGAACGCGTGCAGGCAGCCATCTACGAATTATATGAGTTCGTGCTGGGTGTCTATCTACCAAGTCGGTATCCGACCATGTTCCGATTGACGACTACTAGAGACAGCGATTTCAAAGGGAACGTCCCTGTCCTTGAAAGCAAAGTCACAGGAAAGCAAATCCCCATTGAACTCCCACCCCACTCCCCAGAAACAAGCCGCAAAGCCCTCGAAACACTCGGAACTTGGGTAGACGAAGACTTCATCATCCTGCTTCCAGAGAAGACCGTACCAAGCGACGACGCAGACGGTGAGGACGAGAAATACGTTCTGCACGCCTACACCGTGCACTTCCCGGCCGGGTTCGATCTCAGCAAGAAGCTTGGGCGCCGGCTGGCTGAGATACACACGCCGGTGCCTGGGTACGCGGAGAAGCTCGAGAAGAGCATGGATCGCTTCTTTGCGCGCCTCGAGGTGGGGAAGTTCGTGCAGCGGGTGAATTGGAGTGTCACGCTTGATACACCGCTTTTTGCGGCGTTTGGGATGACGCATGGGAGGAAGGATGCGGGGGATGAGGAGAGGAAGAAGGTAGTGGATGAGGAGATTAAGGTTGGGGAGTTGGATGTTGATACGGTGAGTGGTCTATCCTGTCTTATTGCACTTGGTGGCTGTGGGGTAAATCTGATGATCGGATAGACGTTGCTTCGATGTGAAAGACAGACGCTCCATCGTCTTCCCCACACAAAGGCCCTTGTGTTTGCGGTCCACACATACACTTATCCACTCCAGATGATCAAAGATGAGGGTCTGGGCGAGGAAATGGCCAGTGCTATTGACGGGTTGAAAGAGGGCAGTGCGCCTCAGATTCATTGGTATAAGCGGGGTCCGGTGTGGGGGGAGGCTGTGAAAGAGTTTTTGCGATCTTGAACTACTAGATTAGATTGGTCTATGTTGTTGATGTCTTCCAGAGAACAATACGTCTGTAGAGGACAAGACGACTGAATGAGATGGTCTGAAGGATGAAGTAGATGAATGTCCAATTATCCAAGCATAAATATTGTATTAGTAATCACGGATAAGGGAGCCCAACCAATAACTACGGACCGGACCGAAAGTAAATAATACCTCAGGCACTCCACTTTTTCCTCACTCCCAGTCCCACAGTCATGGAGCTCTCCAAGGTCCTTATCATTGTCGCTATTTACGTTGGTACGTGTCCAGGATAATACCCCACGAGATAACTTCTTGTAGCTGACCAAACCAGCCATCCGCTTCTATTTCAGCCGCAGAAACAGTAACTCCGGAGCAAGCATGGCCCACGGCAAAGTCATCGAGGTGGACAAGTACGCACCCCTCCCCCAGTACAAGGCAACACAGAAGGAAAGAAAACAAAGCCAAAAACTAATGCAATAAATCCTACAGCCCCGTCATCTTCAAAGCCCTGACATCCTCGGGGCCCGTCGTCGTCGACTTCTTCGCCACCTGGTGCGGGCCCTGCAAGGCCGTTGCCCCCGTTGTCGGCAAGCTCAGCGAAACCTACTCCGATGTGCGCTTCATCCAGGTCGACGTGGATAAGCTGAAGTCGATTGCGACGGAGCTGGAGGTGCGCGCTATGCCGACCTTTGTGCTGTTCAAGGATGGCAAGGCGTTGGAGAATCGGGTTGTGGGGGGGAATATGAAGGAGTTGGAGGAGGGAATTAAGGGGATTCGGTCTTAGGATTGTATATTTGGGTTCTAAGGGGGGGGTGCTGAGTAGATGGTTCATGTCCTGTCATGGGCTTTTGTTCTGTGAATTCCATGTACAATGGTACAGTGGCTGGAGTTATTGTTGTCCACGTGGTGTATGCATTGTATAATCACTCCGCTGGGAACAAATAATATGCTGAATCTGCCACTATAGTGATGAGTGATAACATACCATTGAATCACAATGTCACCACACCAGTTACAGGAACAAGAAAGTAAATGCAACCAAATAACTGCATATACTGCAGTGACTACTGTATACAGGTGAATGTTTAATCACCAAGACAGTGGATCTGCGGGGCCGAACGTTGAAAGTGAAACCGCTGTTTACTGCCTCAGGCACCAAGGCAGCGGCCCCCGGCCCGCGAAAAATCTGTCACGCCAACCACCAGTCAGTCTCAACTCCTCCCAAGCCCTACGCTTGCGCCCTACCCCTAAGCCCTCATTTCTGCTCTTGGTAGTCCAGACATCCATCCCATCCCATCTTGACCGGTCGGTTCTAGTCGGATCATGGTCGATACAGAGGATCACATGTCGCCGATTGATGGCAAGGGGAATGTAGATCTCCCTGGATCTGCTTTGGCGCAGGAAAGTCATGATGGTGAGTCTACGCGTGCATGATTCTACTGCTGCCTCGGCGTCTGTCGGAGCAGCAGGGAGATGAGAGGATCTTTTCTTTCTTCTTTCATCTGAATAGACTCTCTTGTTTGAAACAAATAAATGAAAATAGCTAATGAGTTGGCGTTTATGCAGGAAACCTCAAACTGTCCCACCCTCCGCCCGATGTAGACCACGGTTCTGCCTCTCCTCCAGCCTTTAAGAAGAGGCGCGTTGAGTCCGAACAGCCCGAGTCGACTCATTCTCCGGTACACTTTCATGAGATACCGGGTACTAAGATCGAGGAAGAACTGGTGTCTGCGTTGGGGTCGGGTGTGGTGGAGGGTCACGAGCAGTCTCATGGGCAGTCTTTCGAGCAGTCTTTCGAGCAGCCTCAGGAGCAGTCCTACGAGCTTCCTCGGGAGCAGTCTTACGAGCAGACTCACGGGAATTTTCATGAACAGCTTCCAGAGCATCCTCGGGAGCAATCTCAGGACCAGCCTCTAGAGCAGTCTCACGAACACTCTCATGAACAGCTTCCAGAGCATCCTCAGGAACAGCCTCAAGAGCAGCCTCAAGAGCAGCCTCAAGAGCAGCCTCAAGAGCAGCCCCAGGAAAAGCCCCAGGAACAGCCTCAAGAGCAGACTCCGGTGCCATTTCAAGAACAATATCAGGAGCAGCCCCAAGGGCAAGCTCAACAGCAACATCAAGAGCAACCTGAAGAGCAAACCCAGGAGCAAGCCCAGGAACAGGCACAGGAGAAGCCTCAGCAGGTGCCTCAGGAGCATCAGGATGACAAACATGGTCAGATCGAGAGCTCAGCAGAAAGCGCGATTGCCCCAGAGTCGAATGCTGATATTGACCCCGATATGGCGATAGTCATATCGAGCATCATGAATCATGCAGAGCGTGTCGAAGAACAGTGTGTTGTCAGCCAGCATATGACCGATACCTCGGGTCAGGTGGCCCCTAGGCCTATGGTCTTTGTCAAGGCCAATTCGCATCTCAAGATCCAGAGTTTGCCCATTCTAGACAACCTGGTAAGTTATGACCTTCTCCTGTTTTTTTGTGATCGCGACTCAGCTTCTGACCTCGCCTTCCAACGTAGTCAACACAAATCCTCTCTTTACTGGCCAAGTCCAGCTACCAAGATATCACCTCGTTTGTGTCCGAACCCGATTCAGAAAACGGACAGGCCTATGCCACGATGCGCTCGCTCTTCGACCACACGAAGAAAGTGTATTCTACCAAGAGATCTTTCCTCTCCGCCACCGAACTGGAGCTCACGGAGCCTTCCCAAATTGATATCATCCGAAAGGCAAATCTGGCTTCGTTTGTCTCCAGTATCTTTGGAACCCAGGAGATCGGCTTTTCCGAGTTGAACGACAACTTTCTCGATGTGTTTGTCCCTGAAGGCGGGCGTTTGCTCAAGGTCCAGGGTGCGCTGTTCTTGGAGCTGAAGACCCAAGCATTCATCGCCTCGATGAACAACTCGGAGCGGACGAGGACCGAGCTGCTCTACGAACTCTTCCCCGATGATCTCGAGCAGCGGCTCCTTGATCGACGTCCCGGCACTCGTCAGCTTGCCCCAAGCGAAACCGACTTTGTGAACCGTGCCGGCTCACGTCGTGATATTCTCCTCAGCGATATCAACAACGAGGAGCAGCTGAAGGCGCTCCCCGATAAGTATCACTGGGAGGATTTTCTCCGAGATCTCAGCTCGTACATCACAAAGAACTTCGATCTCGTCACCAATCAACACGTTTGTTCCCCTTCCATCCCCCCTACCCACCTCGAAGACCCCTCGGACCCTAATCAGCTTGAAAAGAAAACCACCAAAGGACGACAGCCATCCGCCTCTAGTGGTGAGGCGCAGGAGTCCCCGAGTGCGCCGATCCAAGGCCAGTTCCCAGCTGCTTCCCAGACTCCCGACGTTCCTGTTGACAGGAACATGCACGGTGATCTGGTCGCGCGGGCCGCTCGTGCCGCGCAAATCGCTCTGCAGGGCCACGGTCTCAGACGGTCACAGCAGCAGTCTCAGCAGACCCAGCAACAACCACCGCCACAACCACAACCGCAACAGCACCACCAACCGCAGCAGCACCAACAACCCCCGCCGCAGCCGACTCATCAACATTCGCCGCCCATCCAACATCATCAACCTCCTCAACAACCAATGCACCAGCCGACTTCTCATATCCCGCACGGCTACTCTCCCGCGCAGCCCAGCCCAGCGCCGTCTCAACCGCCGCAGCATCAGCAATACCAATCGAGCCCTGCGCCGTCAGGATATCAACAAGCGCCCGGGCAGCTGACCTTCCAGCAGAGTCCTCTCCAGACCAACTTCCAGCAGTACAACCACGCCCCCCTCCACATGGGTGGAAGACCGAACTCTGGAGCGGCCAATCACGGTTACATGCCTGGTATTCCCCACTACTCGCAGTCTCAACCCACCCAGGTCCTCTACGAACGGGCGCGCATGGCTGCCTCCGCCAAGTCGTCCCCCAGCAGCCGTAAATCCGGCCTTCCCAGCCAGCGTCGGCCCTGGACGACCGAGGAGGAGAATGCGCTCATGGCCGGTCTAGACCGGGTAAAGGGTCCCCACTGGAGCCAGATTCTCGCCATGTTTGGGCCGGGAGGCACCATCAGCGAAGCGTTGAAGGATCGCAACCAAGTCCAACTCAAGGATAAGGCGCGCAACCTCAAGCTCTTCTTCCTCAAGAGCGGCATCGAGGTCCCCTACTACTTGAAATTCGTCACGGGCGAACTCAAGACCCGTGCCCCGGCGCAGGCTGCCAAGCGGGAAGCTCGCGAGCGGCAGAAGAAGCAAGGCGAAGAGGACAAGGCCCACGTCGAAGGGATCAAGGGAATGATGGCTCTCGCAGGGGCCCACTCCCAGCAGCAAGTCCCCATGGGACACGGCCATGACGCCATGTCCGCATCGCCCGGTCTCCCGCCTGATGCCGGCGCCCATAATACCTTTGACCAAACGGCGGAGCAGAACCTGATGCAGACTCTCGGCCAGGAAGTGCATGGTGATCAGTTCGGACAGCATCAGCATCAGCACCAGCATCACCAGGACCACGTTGATCCCGGTATGCATTTGGGGCAGTAACTTGCTTTTTCTTCCTTTTCTTTTTTCTTATTTTCTTTTCTTTTCTTCTTTCGTTCGAGCCATCTTACGGCCTCGTTTACTTTTACGTCTGCACTTTAATCACCGCGTCTTCCCAGCAATGGACTCATCCTCGTACAACACGCGTTGGTGGTCGGTTTGCAGCTCGAAGTTTCCAGTCGTCAGGCTGTTGGGTGCTACGGAGGGGTTATTTCACTGGGATTTCTTACTTATTTCTTTTGTACCATCATATGTGTAATAGCTCGGAGCAATTAGCGGAATAGCGAATCGACTTATGTACTTTATGACCGAATTGGACGGTGCCTTATTGCCTGGTTGCCTTATTGCCGTGCTGCCTTACTGCCTTACTGCCTTACCCCGTGATCGGAGCAGGATCGGCGCCTGGAGAAAGTGGCGACAAATGAGCATCCGTGGATATCAAATGCTATTCCATTCCAGGTTTAGCACGACTGTGGCTCCCCCGAAAATAACAAACCGCCTCCGATCTTTCTGTTCCTCTGGAGACCTCATCTCTCGTTTGAGTCATTTCCTGCTTCAAGTCGAGAATCATGGTGAGGCAGCTTGTTTGGCAGCGGGCGACCGCTTCGCGCAGAGTGAGTTATCCCCAGATTATGGACTGAAAGCCCTGACATTGGGCTGTTTCCCCGGCCTTTCCACTCGTCCCTGCTAACCTCCACTTTTTTTATTAGTTGGCTCCGAAATGCCTCTCCCCGCAACATCTGTTTAGTCGCCGTGGCATGGCCACGGAGGCCTCGTCGACGTCGAATCGCATGCCCCCCTATCCGAAGATCCTCAAAAACCTGGAGGAAGTCCGGCGCGTGCTGGGATCGGGTCGTTCCTTGACCCTTGCGGAGAAGATCCTCTACTCCCATCTGGCGAACCCGGAAGAATCCCTGTTGACGGGGACCGACAATGGACGGGACATCCGGGGGAAGGGCAATCTGAAGCTCAAGCCCGACCGCGTGGCGATGCAGGACGCGTCGGCGCAGATGGCCCTGCTGCAGTTCATGTCGTGCGGGCTACCCTCGACGGCGGTTCCCGCGAGTATCCACTGCGACCACATGATTGTTGGCGAGCGTGGTGCTGATACGGATTTGCCTGCGTCGATCAAGGGCAACAGTGAGGTGTTTGATTTCTTAGAAAGTGCCGCCAAACGCTACGGGATTGAGTTCTGGCCGCCTGGCGCGGGTATCATCCACCAGAGTGTTTTGGAGAACTACGCTGCACCGGGGTTGATGATGCTGGGTACGGACAGCCACACGCCGAATGCGGGTGGTCTTGGTGCCATTGCGATTGGTGTGGGCGGTGCCGATGCGGTGGATGCGTTGGTCGATGCTCCGTGGGAGTTGAAGGCCCCGCGCGTCCTGGGTGTGCGCCTGGAGGGTCAGCTGAACGGCTGGGCCACTCCCAAGGACATCATCCTGCATCTGGCGGGCAAGCTGACCGTGCGCGGTGGAACTGGGTTCGTCATCGAATACCATGGTCCGGGTCTCGAGTCCCTGAGCTGCACGGGACAGGCTACCATCTGTAACATGGGCGCGGAAGTGGGCGCCACTACGTCCGTGTTCCCCTTCTCGCCCAGCATGGTGCCTTATCTGCAGGCGACGCACCGCGGAGATGTGGCGGCTGCCGCTGCGAAGATCGCTGCCTCGGGCCCTGGAAACCTTCTGCGGGCTGACGATGGGGCCCAGTATGACGAGGTCATCACTATTGACCTGTCGACACTGGAGCCGCACATCAACGGTCCCTTCACCCCGGACCTGTCGGTGCCGCTGTCGTCCTTTGCTGATACTGTCCGCGAGAAGAACTGGCCGGAGACCTTTGGCGCCGGCCTCATCGGCAGCTGCACGAACAGCTCCTACGAAGACATGACGCGTGCGGAGGACCTGGTCAAGCAGGCGGCCGCAGCCGGCCTGGAGCCCGCGGCTGACTTCTTCATCACCCCCGGTAGTGAGCAGATTCGCGCCACTCTGGACCGCGACCAGACGCTGTCGACCTTCCGCTCGGCGGGCGGCACCGTGCTGGCCAACGCCTGTGGACCTTGCATCGGACAGTGGAAGCGTACCGACGACGTGGCCAAGGGCCAGGACAACGCCATCTTCACGTCGTACAACCGCAACTTCCCCGGTCGCAACGACGGCAACCGCAAGACCATGAACTTCCTGGCCTCTCCCGAGCTGGTCACGGCCCTGGCTTACTCCGGGAAGACGACCTTCAACCCGATGACGGACAGCTTGAAGACGCCGGATGGCAAGGAGTTCCGCTTCCAGCCTCCCACGGGCTCGTCCCTCCCGGCCGACGGCTTTGCCGACGGCAACCCGTCCTTCATGCCCACCGCGGCCGTCCCCGACGCGACTGCCGAGGTCGCCGTGTCGCCGACCTCTGACCGCCTGGCGCTGCTGGAGCCATTTGCTCCCTTCCCCGAGGGCGAGCTGTCGGGTCTGAAGGTGCTCTACAAGGTCAAGGGCCAGTGCACGACCGACACGATCTCGGCCGCCGGCCCCTGGCTGAAGTACAAGGGCCATCTCCCCAACATCTCGGCCAACACGCTGATCGGCGCGGTCAACGCCGCGACCGGCGAGACCAACGTCGCCTACGACGAGGCCGGCAAGCAGCACGGGATCCCCGAGTTGGCCGAGCAGTGGAAGGCGGCCGGCCAAGAGTGGCTCGTGGTCGCCGAGGACAACTACGGCGAGGGCAGTGCGCGCGAGCACGCCGCCCTGCAGCCCCGCTACCTGGGCGGTCGCATCATCGTCTCGAAGAGCTTCGCGCGCATCCACGAGACCAACCTCAAGAAGCAGGGTGTGGTGCCGCTGACGTTCGAGAACCCGGCCGACTACGACCGCATCGATGCCTGCGACCAGGTCGACACGGTGGGTCTGTACGATACGCTCCAGGCGGGCGGACAGGGCTCGGTCCAGCTGCGCGTGCAGAAGCGGACTGGTGAGGCCTTCACCATCCCCGTCCGACACACCTTGAGTCCGGACCAGAGTGCGTTCGTGTTGGCTGGTAGTGCGTTGAACCTTCTGGCGAAGAACGCGCAGAAGAACTGAGTTTGGATCTCTTGTGTTAGACTAGATGTACATACGTAGATATATCCTATAAAAGCGGGAGTGTTTTTATTTCGATACAATGCGTTATATTTCTTTTGGTTTACACTGCTTCCTAGTCGTGTTCAGTTGTATACAGTCAGGACTATATTGTATGTTGATCGTGGCGGAGAATTTGCCCGCCACTCTCGTTGCTGGGGCAAACTCGGCCCAAACAAACGGATCGATCCCCGTTTCATCTTCCCACAACCACCCACTTCTCCTCTTCGTTTCAAAGGGGAATAGTTTCCAGACGCCAGCTGGAAGTGACTGCAGTCCCAAAATAAACAAGTCACCAGGATCGACCCCGGTGTTTTGTCTGATCTGCTTACTAAATACTGCTGCCCCACCACAGCATCTCTCACTCTTCCATCCCATCAACAACCCCTCCTCAAACTGTCTGTACTCGGCTTCAACCTAAGACTGGGATATCTCCCCTCTGTCAACCGCCAACATGGCCAAGGAAAGCGATGTCCCAGTGCCTCCCATCACCCCTCGCAAGCCCAATGAGCAGCCCCAGCGTGCAGTGAATAGTCACCACCCCGAGTTCGGCAAGCCGTCGCCCATCGGCCCTCCCCAACACCGTCTCCCCCAACAGAACAACAACAACAACAACAACACGGGCAACCCATTCAACATCCCCAAAGCCAATCGTCCTCGCGCAGAACACCACCGCCCTCACCCCCACCAGCAGCCACGACCCCAGAACTATCCCCCTCCAGGCGGTGCCCGACCACCCTACGGCACCCCCGGCCCCGTATCGACCCCGAAACGCGGCCCGGCGTTCGACCCTTTCAAGCCCGTCCGCCCATCAGCATACAACAACAACCGCTTCTCCAAACCGGTCGACAACGACGTGTTTGAAATCCGGCGGCCCGAAAATGTCACCTTCGGCACCCCGCGCGCCCCCAAGACCTTCTTCGCTTCGAACCCCTCCGCGATGAAACCGAGCAACGCGAACAAGACGCTGCAGAAGTTCGTCGATCTGACAGGCGAGGGCGGGTTCACGCCGAGTGCGCCGTCCCGCCATGCGGGCTTTGGGTCGATGGATGCGAATAGTTATGTGGATACAGCCAAGGCGAACGAGAACATCAAGGCGCTGTTGGAGGGGGCGTTTGAGGACGAAGATGAAAAGCAACAACCTAAGGGCAAGAAGAAGCGGAAGAACCGCGGTAAGCAGAAGAAGAATAAGCTGAAGGAGAAGGAGGAGAAGGATGAGAATAAGGACGAGAAGTTGCCTGTGACTAGTGATAAGGAGGTGGAGGATGAGCTGGATGATCTGGCTGCTCAGTTCCGCGGTGTTACTGTTGGGGATCCTAATGCTGCCGGGGAGGAGAAGGAGGGGACGAAGAAGAGTGCTTCGAAGGAGGATGTGACGGACGATGTCGAGGGTGATTCCGGCCTCCAGGATGATAAGGCTGGTGAGGAGCAAAGCGAGGAGGAGGATGAAGAGGAAGAGGAAGAAGACGATGGCACGGTGGAAGGCCTCAAGGTGAAATTGCTCCAGCACCAGCGTGAAGGCGTCAAGTGGATGTGCGATAAGGAGACAGGTCGCAACCGCGGCAAGGGTGTGCTTCCCAAGGGCGGAATTCTCGCAGACGACATGGGTCTCGGAAAGACCGTGCAGGCCATCGCGCTGATGCTCACCAACCGCAAGCCTGAGAGCGGCATCCGATATACCGGCCCTAAAGAGGACGACGACGAGGATGCCAGCGATGACGAAGACGCGGCTAACCGCAAGCTGCCCCCCGGCGTCACCAAATCGACCTTGGTCCTTGCTCCTCTGGCGTTGATCAAGCAGTGGGAGGCGGAAATCGCGGACAAGGTCGAGTCTAGCCATAAGCTGCGCGTGCTGGTCTACCATGGAAACACTCGAGCCAAGGCGACAGACTGTCTGGAGGACTACGACGTGGTGATCACCACCTACGGCACGCTGACATCCGAACACGGGGCCGCCGACAAAGGAAACAAGAAATCGAGCCTGTTCTCCACCTACTGGTACCGCATCATTCTCGACGAAGCCCACACCATCAAGAACCGCAACGCGAAGGCGACCCAGGCGGCCTACGCACTGGACGCAGAGTACCGGTGGTGTCTGTCCGGCACACCAATGCAGAACAACCTCGACGAGCTCCAGAGTCTGATCCGGTTCCTGCGCATCAAACCATTCAACGACCTCGCAGCCTGGAAAGAGCAAATCACGAAACCCCTAGCCAACGGTCGCGGAGGTCTCGCCATCCAGCGTCTCCAGGTGTACCTGAAAGCGTTTATGAAGCGCCGTACCAAGGACGTCCTGAAGCTCGACGACAGCCTCAAGGCAGGCCAGACCGACTCCAACGGACAGCCGAAGAAATCCTCCGGATTCCAAATCACCAAGCGAGAGGTCATCAAGGTGAAGGCGGAGTTCATGCCGGGCGAGATGAACTTCTACCAGCGTCTCGAGCAGCGTACCGAGAACAGCCTCGAGAAGCTGATGGGCGGCGCCAAGGTGGACTACGCTGGGGCGTTGGTGCTCCTGCTGCGTCTTCGCCAGGCGTGCAACCATCCGGATCTGGTGAAGAGCGATCTGGCGAAGGATAAAGACGTCCTGTTGCAGAACGGAGCCCTGGGCAATCAGCCTGCGGCTGCGAAACCAGATGACCTTGACAGTATGGCGGATCTGTTCGGTGGGCTCAGTGTTGTGACGAAGAAGTGCGATATCTGTCAGACGGAACTGAGCAAGGAAGAAGCTTCCGCTGGAGGTAGTCGGTGTCGAGAATGCGAGACGGATCTGGACGTTGATTTCACCAGTGCGCAGAAACCTAAGAAGAAGAAATCCCCGAAGGAGGTCGTGGATTTGACGGATTCGCCGTCTGCCAATCGTTCGAGTGCGAAGATGGCTCGGGCTCAGAGGAACAGGAAGGTTGTCTTCGATAGTGATGACGAAGAGGAAGATGATGGCGAGTGGATTGTCCCGGAAGATAAGCGCACTGCAACCAATCTCGGCAAGGCCGGGGGATCAGACGATGAGGACGCAGAAGGAGGTGGGGAATGGCTCGTTTCAGACGACTCCGACAGCGACGACGACGACTCAGGGCCCGAATCACCCACGCAGCAGCGCAGGGCAACCAAGATCCGCGATAATCGGTCCGACACCGAAGACGACATCTACATTGATAGTGGAGCGGGCAAGGAGCAGATCCTCCCATCGACCAAAATCCGGCATCTGATGAAGGTCCTCAAGAGCGAGGCGTCCGACCATAAGTTCATCGTGTTCTCCGTTTTCACGTCCATGCTGGACAAGATTGAGCCGTTCCTCACGCGCGCCGGGATCGGATTCGCTCGATACGACGGCAGCATGCGCAACGATCACCGCGAGGCGAGCCTGAACCGGCTGCGAAACAACAGCGGGACGCGCGTTCTCCTCTGTAGTCTGCGAGCCGGCGCGCTGGGTCTGAACCTGACGGCCGCGAGCCGGGTGGTCATTCTAGAGCCATTCTGGAATCCTGTATGTTTTACATGACCCCGCACTTTCTAACACAGACACTAATATTCTCCCAGTTCGTCGAAGAACAAGCCATCGACCGCGTCCACCGCCTCAACCAAACCGTCGACGTCAAAATCTACAAAATGATCGTCAAAGACACAGTGGAAGAGCGCATTCTCGACCTCCAAGATCGCAAACGCGAGCTCGCCAACGTCACCATCGAGGGCAAGTCCGCCGCCGGCAAGCTCACCATGAACGACATGATGGCGCTGTTCGGCCGGGACGCCGAGTCGCGGTTCACCGGCGAGCGGGGGAATATCGACCTTACCCAGACGACGCGGCTGTTGAATTCGAGTAACGATGAGGGGACGGCGCCACAGGATTCGCAATACGCGTCTCAGGGCAAGAACCGGAGGCCTGAGAGTCGGGTGTCTCCTACGGAGAGTTCGGTCTATGGACGACGGTGGTAGGGGTTGGGTTGGTGGTGTTGGCGTATGAATGGGGCGTATGATACTGGGGGTAGTCGTGAGGTGGCATTTGCTGTTCGGTCTTGCATTTGGTGTTTATTTCGGTTAGAATTGTCCATTGATATTTACTTGTTGATAAATACTTGAGGGTTGTATATCGTGCTGTAGACTGTCTGTATACACGGTGCAAACCAGACAAACAAGCTAAGCTCTGCATCTCCGATATCACCAGATCTGCTTCACTTCATCATTATCCGTTCTACAATTGACTCTTCTACTCTCCTCAATTCTTTGTTTCAGAAAGGACCACGCAAGAACAAGAAACTCATCCATGCGCCCTCCATAACACCCACGAAACCACCCAAACCACACCAACCCCCCACAATGGCACCACCACCACCATCCCGACAACCACCCCCAAAACCCTCATCCTCATTCACATCCACCTTCCAACCAACCCCCAAAATGCGCGTCTCCCCCAAGCCAACCCAATCTCCCAATGTCACCCCCAAGCGCAACCCCCTCCTCACAACATTTCGCACATACTACACGACCCTCCGCACCTCCTACACGACCCTCCCCCTCCCCTTCCGCCGCACCCTCCGCACCCTCCGCATCCTCGCCCCGCTCGTCCCAATCGGCCTCTTCTTCTCCGAACACGTTAGCCAAATAATGTGGGTGCGGGGGCCGTCAATGACACCCTACCTCAACGAAGACTACCACGCGACGCACTCGACCAGCGATATGGTTCTCGTCAACATGTGGCCGTTTGGCGGCGGCGGGTGGCCGTGGCAGCGCAGCAGGAGGTTGGAGAGGGGGATGGTTGTTACCTTCCGGTTTGTTCCATTCCCCCCTCATTGATTCTTATACCTCCTCCGGAGGAATATACATACAAAAGAGAAAATCAATGCTAACAACGGAAATAAAAAAGGTCCCCAGCAAACCCCTCCCACATAGCCGTAAAGCGCATAATCGGGCTCCCCGGCGACCGCATCACGACGCGTACGCCGTGTGTCAAACCCTCGCAGATTGTGCCCTTCAACCATGTGTGGCTGGAGGGTGACGCCGCGGATCCGCGGCATACGCTGGATAGTAATTCTTACGGGCCGGTTAGTATTAGTTTGATTACGGGGCGGGTGGCTGCTGTTGTGTGGCCTAGGTCGAGGTGGTTGAGGTGGGAGGATTGGGAGGGGGAGGGAGAAAGCCTGGGGGAGGGGAAGGGGGCGTATAGATTGGGGACGAGGGAGAGGGTGTTGAAGGAGGCGGTGCAGTTGGAGGCGCCGCGGTTGCATTGATCTATCGTTCTTACTCTGTAACTGGTTGTGGGTAGAGATAGAGATAGGCTGGGTGGGTGGGTGTATATTATTGTTGGAATGTATTATATACTATTATGATGAATATGACAGACTATGGTACAATATGCGTGCTATAAAGAGGGTATCGGCAGCAGCCAAGACACAAAAACCAAGAACCAACTAAGAGAGAAGAACGAAGAAAGAAACTAAGATACACCTCTTCTAGCCGACGGCGTCACAACCCGAATATCCTCGGGCTTCTCCTCCTGCAACCGATCAATCTCAGACGCAATACTCAAAACCCACCTATCCTTGTCCACCCGACTCCTCGCCTTAAACACAGCCGTGCGGCCATGCACACCCAGCCTCGAAACCTGCTTCAGCGTCTGCCTCCTCTGACCCTCCTGACCCAACTCGTGCGCGCGGAAAAGATTCTTCCGCAGCGGCTGCCACACGACGAAGGTGATGGCCGTGTCCTCGTCGCTGCTGGTGTACATGTCTGTGGAGAGGTAGACGCGGGGCAGGGCGTGGTGCTGGCCCGGGTGGTTGCTGTCGAAGGTTTGGTTCGCGTAGAGGAGGTCGTCTTCTGTCAGGATGCCGGAGTAGATGTAGCAGTCGTTGAGGTCGAGGGTGGTTTCGAGGTGCGTGTGCGTGTGGGGTACGTTGACGCCGTTGCGCTTGCGCAGCGCGCTGCGGAAGATGAGCAGTTTGCCGTCAGTGAGGACTACGTCGCATTGTTTGAAGGTCGAGTGGCGGCGGGGTTTGCGGTAGAGTTGGCCGGACATCTGGCGTTGGTGAGCATGAGGTTCGATATGGAGGTGGGGTTCATGGGGAGGGAGGGGAGGGACATACCTTGATGGCTCGACATCCTGCTAGCGAGCACATGTTGTGCAGCAGCGGCGAGGCCAGCGCCTTCTTGACTTCCCATTTACACGCGTACTGCCCCACCATCGACTCCAGCTCCTCGTCGATGCCCAGAAGCTCTAGATTCCGCTGGCGGATGGACTTGAGCTCTGTCGAGTCCGCCGCGGACCGCAGCTTCCAGTACCGCACCAAGGCATCAAGACGCGTGATCCATTCGTCCTTGGTGACATCGTTGTACGCCTGTAATCGGACGACGAGCCCGTTGTCCAGACGCAGTTCGAACGTGCGGTCGTCGTCGAACTCCCGGGTGTCACCGTCGTCGCGCTGCGAGTCCTGCGCGTCCGGGTGGAACGCGACGTCGGGGCCTGCGCCGACGTTCGGGTCCGCGGGGCAGCTGTCGCGTTGAACGGGACGCACTTCTTCCACCTGGCGTAGGTCGATGAAGCCGTCGGAGCGGGAGATGTTGTGGAGGTTCCTGCGCAGCTGGACGACTGCCTCTGTGTCGTGTCTCTTGATGTGTTCTTCGTTGCCGCTGGACAACCATTCGATGCCCCCCTCGTGAAGCGGGAACGGGTCAACGTGGTAACACAAGGGAGAAGCACTCATGATGTCCTGCGTCGACGGGATGTTGGACTCGTGTTCGCAAATCCGGGGAGGCGACGGCGGGAGTGCCCTCGTCGGCCGGCAGAAGAAAAGGTAGTGGTCCTGACAGAAAAAGTACAGGCGTTTGTAAAACATCTTGTTCCGGCGTTGGTGCACGCCTCGCTGGGAGGTCAGGCGGATCAAGAACCCTTCTACCGGCTCGGGCTCATCCTGCCTTTCGTTGTTGGCTACGATATGGGTGCGATAGTGTTGGCGGGGCCGGAGCTCCAGTTCGTGGGATGTCTGCATCGCCATGGTACCGTACATCTTTTGCTCGTTGATTCCAAAGACCCATTCTAACCGGTCGTAGCGCTTCCAGGCTAGTCCCATCTTCTCGGTCTTGGACCACTGTTTTAGGACGTCGGCCCATTCCGATTCCTTGGAGAGCATTTCCATGCATCCGTGGATAATCGACGCGGCCGCGAATCGTTCGCGCGCCGCGGACCGGGTCAGGACGCGGTCCTCGTCATCTGAGCGATTGGCGTTAGCACCTACGTCGATTTGCTCGAATGGATTCTGAAAGACCAAGGCCACGCCAAGGTCCGGCACATTGATCGCCAGCGAGGAAGGCCGACGCCAACCCAACGCCTGGCGGAGAAAGGTGGACCATTCGGCCGCATGCGCCGACGACTTGGGTCGTATGATGAAGATCTTGGTTCCATACTTGGACGGTCTCCAGATCACGATGGTCTTGTCCAGCGACGAATACAGATTGACGCTGACCGTCTTGCGGTCGAGCAGGACCTCGTAGTAGGGTGAGATGCGCGCGCCCTTCTTCTGGATATCGGGGATGACGCGGGTTTTGTACATCTGGAGACAGAACCGCGCCGAGGGATCCGAGGATCTCCGGCAGACGACCAGGAATTCGCGCCACCGGTCCACGACCCTGGTCTCCATGCGCTGGCTGTGATTCTCCATGTAGTCGTCCGGTAGTTCGCGCGGACTCTCCTCGACCCGGGCCAGCATATGCTCCGCCTTGATGATTTCGCCGCCCTTGTTACGTCGCCGATGCGGCAGATTGTCCGCGACAGCATCGTGCGTTCTGGATATCCGCGAACGGGCTCTTTCCTTCTTATTCCACAAATTGTCGTCTATTCCGGTTCTCGAGGCCTTCTGTGCCAGCCAGATGGCGGTATTGTACACGGTCCCGCGCCGGCTGGATGCGCCTGGCGCATTCGGGTCGGTTCCGTCCGGGGTCTCTCCAGGTTCGCTGGGTATGGGTGGGGTGGGATGTGAATCTGTCGCTTTACCTTTGCCCTTGAGCGGCGGTGGTCGGCTTAGCAAAGGGGTGATCGACGTTTCGCTGGTATTGATTATGGGGGTTGACTGACTGGCCTCATACTGACTGGTTTCTTCCGAGGGGGATGGTCCCAGGTCCGTTCCACTGGAGCGTTGGAGGGTGGACACCCGGGTTTTACCTTGGCTCGGGGGTGGTTCCCGTGCGGTGTAGAAGGATTCCGAGTCACGCCTGGTGCTCTCCGGTTGTCCCTGGTCTCCGTGGTCCTGGGGAAGTGTGCTCTCTGGTTCCGCGACTCTCGTCGGGCCTCCATCGGTCTCCTCCACGGACGCTATCATGCGGAGGTCTCCAGACGGTCCGGATGTCTCTGCTCCATGATCGTCTTCCCGTTCCGTCTCATCGTCCTCGGATGAGGTCTCTGGGGAGGGAAAGTCCCCTGTGCCAGTTGAATAGCCGGGTCGCGGTTGATCGGAGCCGTCCGGGCGGGTCATGAGACCCGTGTCGGCGGAAAAGGTGGGAGCCTTGTGCTTCTTGAACTTGCCCCGGGTCTTGAACCATGATTTGCGGTGGTGTTGAAGCCAGCCTTTGGGGATGGGACCGATGAAGTATCGCCTGCTGGTTACGTGTACATGTTTGGCGGAGGCGTACCGCTGTTGCCCTGGTTAGTTTTGGGTTCTCTTTTGATTGGAAGGTCATACAAGTTTCTCTGCACTGTAGGAATCCGAGGCTAGGCCATGATAATGATGATCATGGAACCAGTCTTGCGTCTCGTCCTCCATGGTATTAGGGACATGTTGAACCGGGGGAGGAGTGCTCATGGCACTGTGGGGGGGAGATCAGGAACGAGGATAGAATGCATCCACGATACCATCAATCCGTATGTAAGTAGAAGGGAGAATAGACTATAGAGAAAGAGAGCGAGGAATGAAGGGATAGAGTAGAGGGATCGAGATGATTTGCGCGTCGGATGTAACCGATGACGTCGATCAACCGGTGTTTGCTCTGTTTGTATGGCTTGTATTGCTGCCTCAGGGGAAGGCTTGGCATGTTGTTTTATACAGAGTATTATGGAGTCTCCTGCAATATCCAATATATCAGGGACTATTGAATCAATATTCAAGGGTCTGCCGTATATGACAGGTTCCAAAGCATTGAGCCAGACGTGTCCAGATGTCACAGCGGTAGTCTGGTCCATTCCTTTATCCTCCAAGCAATGTAAATACCTTGATGGATACCGTAGGAGTATACTTCCGCTATAACGCCTCCGTACTCTGTACCAATTCCCAAATCTATATCATTGCTATCTCCGACTAGAGAATGTCAAACTAAAACGACCAAATGAGATGGGTCCAGAGCTGTCTCAATCCAGTTAAGGTCGAGTGGTGGGGAAGTTGCGTGGCCCGGCGGTGAACAGGAGTACCTCGTCCGCCCGCAATAAGAACAGGTATAGCGATGTACTCTTGTTTCATCTGCCCCTCTCTCTCTTCCTCTCTCTTTCTCCCCTTTTCTTCCCTCCACATCTATATATAAACCTCTCCGGATCTCTTACTCTTCCCCTTCTTCACCTCTTCCATTCTCTCTTATACCACCATCAAAATGTCTACCTGGTTCGACACCATCAAGCGCTCCTTCGACAGCGTCCCCATTGACGCCGCCAACGACAACGGCATCTCCACCACCGAGTTCCTCGAGGCCGCCGAGTCGTTGACCACTCTGTTCGGTACGACCTATCCACATAGGAGTAATCTCCTTCTAATGCTAATACACCCTCCCATACAGACGTCCTTGGCTCCGTCGCCTTCAACCCCGTCAAGAATGATCTTCTCGGCAACATCAAGGTCCGTCTACCCCGCGACCCCTCCTTCCATGACCTCAAGATCTAACCAATCTCCCACCACAGAAAGTGAGAGAGAGGCAGCAGGCTGCCCCCGCCGAGTCGGCCACTCTCCAATCCCTCGTCCTGAACGAGCTCAAGACCAAGAAGCACGTCGCTACCGAAGGTCTGGTCTGGCTGGTCCGGTACGTCTCCCAAATACACAACACACGATCTCTCCCACCAAACACCCCCCGTTCTTCCCCCTCCTATATAACCCCCTACATCTGAATATAAATATACTAACCAATATCATTTAGCGGCCTCGACTTCACCGCCCAATCCCTCCGCCACAACCTCGACCAGTCCTCCTCGGAACTCTCCGACTCCTTCCGCCAGGCCTACGGCAACACCCTCAAGCCGCACCACTCCTTCGTCATCAAGCCCATCTTCTCCGCCGCCATGTCCGCCACCCCCTACCGGAAGGATTTTTACGCCAAGCTGGGCAGCGACCAGGCCCAGGTTGAGGCCGCCCTCCGCAAGGAGGTCAACGCTCTGGAGGAGCGTGTTGCTATCCTGAAGGCTTTCCAGGAGCGGAAGGAGGCGAAGTGGTAGATTTACAGCCTGGGTAGAATTGAATTGAATTATACATATTTATAGCATTCTTAATGCGTTCTGTTTCTTGGGTGTATTCGTAGGAATAGTCGAGGTAATCGTGTGTTTATTTACACGGGGGTTCGGGACCCTTTCCCGGCTATACAACAATTTAAATCACCTATTTCAATTCCCACTCATTGAATCAATACATGAATATAAGATATAAGACAGATATAATATAATATACATATTTACATTGACCAGTATATCTACCTCTACTCTATCTAACCCAAAACAGAACCGAGGAAACCCCGCGCCAATGGCAAAAAAACAGGAGAACCAGAAAGGAATGAGAAGAGAGTGGATCCATCTACCTCCCTACACCAAACAAACGTCTATACATCACCCAGCCACCTAAAGCCAAAAGAGTGGAGTGGAGGGGAGGGGAGAATCATCACCGGTCGAACCAAATCCAAATGCACAGTCAATCCAGCATCACGTGCATGTAGTATGGTATTGGACAGGAATAGCATAAGCTCAATTAAGTCGACTCCTGGGAAGGAGAAGCAGCAGCAGCGGGTTTTACATCCGAGGACGAAGCGTTGCGCTTAGAAGCCGCTGCGTTCCTCGCGGCCGACGTGGCCGCCGCGCGCTGAGCAGCAGCAGCGCCATCCCGCAGACGTTTCAGACGCTCGCTGCGACCTTCACCGGGAAGGCTTCCCCAGACAGGCTCGATGGAGTCAGCGCGCCAGTTAGAGCGACGGCCGGCGTAGGTGCCTGTGCGGGTGGGCAGGTGGACCAGGGGGCTGGCGCCGGCGCCGGACTCGCCCCACATGCGGACGCGCTGGAGCTTGCGTAGTTTGGCGAGGCCGTAGAGGCAGACGACACCCGTGATGGCGAAGCAGGTGACGGAGACGGCGCCGAAGCCGAGGTCGGACTCTTCGATGAAGTTCTTCAAGTTCATGCCGTAGAGGGCGGAGAAGAGGGTTCCTGTTGCGAGGCCGAGGGTGCCGATGCTGAATTTGAGGTCGAGGAGCATGAGGGAGTTGCGGTTGGCGTCGAGGATGGCTTTGACGCTGTTCAATGATTTGTTAGTTTTACTCTTCCTTCTCGTTTATTGTTTTGGGTGTATGTAGGAACTTACACTTCCTCAGTGTTGCGGATACCTGTGACCAGGTTACCGCTGGACTGCACGATTTCATCGCACACCTTGTGATACGACTCGAGAAGCATCTCCACCTCCTGGTGATCATGCTCCGGGCGTTGAATGCCATGGGCGCTCTCACTCAGATACATCGCAGCCAGATCATCATCCGCCTCAAGGAGATCCTCAATGGCGTCACGAACCAGCCGTGCCTTCTGCTCAAAGGTACCCAGACGCTTAGAGTAGATAAGGAGATGGCGCAGCTGCTCCCGATCAATGTCTTCCTCGAGAGCGCGAAGTACCCGCACGACGGGTTCCTTGACGCCGTTGAATTCCTCCTCCAGACCCGTGGTCACGCTAATCATGATGGCTTCCAGCGCGCGGAACTCGTACGGGAGGACACCGTCGCCCTGCGACTGCTTCTGCCGCAGCTTTCCCTCAAGGTCGTACACGAATAGCGACTGCATGTAGGAGTCGGTGGAACCGTAGGCGTCGAACACCAGGACGCGGTCGGACTTGATCAGGACGCGCAGATGCAAGAGGTTGATGAGGATGGCGCTCGGGCGCACCAAGATGTGCGGGAGGGTGGATGAGTCGATTTTGCGTAGATCTCGGGGAAGAAGGCCGTACTATATATGGTTCGTGAGTTAGCATAGCGTTCACCTCGCATCAAACAGTCCAGCAATAGAGAGAGACAAACCTTAGCAATCAACTCCGTCTTCTTAAACTCCCCATTAACCAGTGTAACATCCCCATTAGAATCAAACTCCGTACACCTCAACCGCAACTCATTCGACGCCTTCGCAGCCAATGACCGCCTGAAATTCAAATGTCCCTCCCGCTCATCATTCAACAACGGGCCGGCGCCCGCGCCATGCTCAAGTTTCGCATTCGCCGCCTCCTTATTCCGTCTGAAGTCGAGCAGCCTGCGCAGAAACGGACGACTTTTGGTAGACGACGCCCGCGAGGGGGCTAGCAACGACTGCGCAGCGTACGACGGGTTCTGGCCAAACGCCGCTCGGCATCGGGATGCGGATGCGCCGCCGCGACTTCGGGGCGAGAATCTCGGGATGGGGAAAAAGCTGGCTTCTAGCGATGGCCGACACGGGGCTGCACCGCTATCCCTCCATGTCGATGAGGGAGTCCATGCGTCGTGAGCGGCTGATACCGGACGTGATGACGGCGGCGGCTGCGCTCTCCGGGGTGGCCGTGCACAGGAGACACTCGGCGTGAAGAACGAGGGAGACTCGGTCTGGGAGCGGAGATAGCGGAGGAGAGATGTCGAGGGGACGGATGGTTTCGGGGACAGCATTTCTGTCTTTGACCGGGTCAGAAACAGCGCTGGTCTTGATTATTGCTCCCCGTGTGTCTTCAGTTAGCTAACATGGGCTGATTTGGTTGATAGGGTTGATTTTCTTCTACTTTGGATTATTTTTTTCCGCGGACAGAGAGCGGATCAACCATGTTCCGGTGTATTATATCGCCTCCTTACAGATCTTGTAGATATTATAGATATTGTTGAGTCAAGCCCAAGCGCCGTATATAATAAAGTAATCTAGTAGATCTATCTAAATCGTCTGACAATATAAGTTGCGACCAATCTAAAATCAATGCGACCCATTCGCCGCGCCCTTCTCCATCCGCTCCACATAGTCCACCAGATCCTCAATCGTACACACCTTGATCCCCCATTTCTTCCCAAACTGCAAGCACGCATCGCGTCGCATCATGTCATTGTTACCACCGATCTCAGGAACTCCAGGAACCAGCTCACCATCCTCAACCAGCTCCGCGATCACACCCACCGGCGCCTTCCCGGCCAGCCGGCAAAACTCAACCGCAGCCTCGGTGTGTCCGCGGCGCACGCGCACACCGCCGTCCTTAGCCTGCAGCGGGATGATATGGCCGGGGCGTCGGAAGTCGTCGACGCGGGCAGTCGGGGAAGCCAGCGTTCGGCAGGCGAGGGCGCGGTCATGTGCGGAGATACCGGTCGTGACGGAGTCGTCGCTGGAGTCGATAGATATCGTGTAGGCGGTGCCCTTGGGGTCGGCGTTTTCGACGACCATTTGGGGGAGGGCGAGGCGGCGGGCGATGTCGGCGGTGATGGGGGCGCAAATCAGGCCACTGTGTACCAGAGAGAGTTAGTAAGAACGCGATCCTCCAGTGTAGTTTAGTTTCTAGGGAAAGAAGAAGGGGCCTACCTGGTAAAGCGAACGAGGAACGCCATCTGGGCGTCTGTGACCGACTCGGCCGCGATAATCAGATCCCCCTCATTTTCCCGGTCCTGCGAGTCGAGAGCGATGATGAATTCGCCATTCTCTGCGTGTCGCATGTGTTAGCCCTTCTCTTTCCACCAACGATAACCCCCACACTGCGACGAAGACGAGAGGCAGAAAGTAACAGGGATTAACTAACTAAAAGCAGCAACAGTATCTTCGATCGAATCGAATCGCAAACTCGGTTCCGTCGAGGCAGGCATTATTATGACTCGACTGGCAATATGCGGGGCAGATAGCGTAGCGGGGTGTGTAAAATGACACAATGCGAATTGTCCTCTAGAACAATTGAAACCGAATCCGAGACTCTGGAATTATGTATTGCACAGTGTCGCGATCACTCCACACAGTATATGTAAAGGAGTCTTCTAAAGAAACTCTGATTAGGGGGGCGGAGGTTGATCGGTGCAAAGCGGGGAGGACCGGAGGTGGCGATCGCAGTTAGGTTTGGAGGGGGCGATGTCAATTGACAGTGACTGCGACAATTGAGGTGACGGTATTATATACTCTCAAAAATAGAATGAAATCAATTCAACGCAGTGGAAAGAAATCAATGGATGTCAATGCCAGAGAGGAAGTATGTGGAAGAAGAAGAAAGGATCAGTCATGGTTTTGTCAGAAGCCGTGATGGCCTTACCAATAACGCTGCCGAGGCCGAATCGCTTGCGGGCCGAGCACGTACGGGGGTCGCATGTTGATCCACGGATGGTCGCTAACTGGTTGTGATGGCCTATATGGTGGGGAGATTGACAGTCTTGAAACACCCTTTTCTTCTATTTTGTAGGTAGAATGGTTGTCGGACTATTCTGATACAACTCATGCTTCATTACGGTTTTGTCTTCTCTAAGTGGATAATGTTTGAACTTTTTTTTTGCATTTTGTATGATATAAACAAAGCACCTCGTAACAGGACACGAGTATTGATATGCAAGAAAAAAAAGAATACTAATAAATAAATAAGATAAAATGTGATGAAAGAACGAGGGAATCCCACGACAGTGCCTAGTAGAAGGGCAACATTTCAGTCGTGGAGTGACCGACCCAACAGGGTAGATACTCGGTCAATGGATGGTCGTCGGACCGACCCTACAACAGACGAAGGGAGGGGACCGGCAACTCAACTCGAATGACGGAGTCGGAAGTGTTGGTGAAGGAGTCAAGCAGCTAGGAGGACACTCTACCACCCAAAAATATCACCCACGCTCAAAACACTATACCGCACCCCGGCAACAGAGAACAACACCAGCACGACATCAACAACCCCCAGCAGAGCAGCGCCCATCATGAACCGGGGGTTAAAGATGCGGTACAGCATGAGGTGCCGACGGAGATGACCAGCCCACATCGTTGTCGCGAGGTTAACGGTCGCAAAGTAGAGCAGGTATGTACAGGCCGCCTGGACGACATCAGAGAGGATCTTAATTGTCGGGCTCTTAGCCTTGGCGGACTGCGAACCCGTCTGGTCGCTCAGCTGGAGGGGTCGTTTCCAGAGGACGGTGAGCGGGACGGCGACAGTGGTCAAAATCTGGGGGCCGAAGGTGTTGAGCGTTACCAAGATGGGGGACCATGGGTATTGGACGGTGGAGAGAGGGATGAAGGCGGATTCCCATTGGATGCTGCTGAGGACGGCCTGGTGGCCGGTCTTAAAGTAGTGGAAAGAGCCCAGGAGGGCTAGGACGACGGGCCCGATGGATGAGTTTGTGGACACTAGGGCGTTCGTGTCGAGGATTTCGAGCAACGACAGGATCTGCCAGAGCAGCAGGCCGATGGCGCCCTGGCCCATTGGCTTCTGCATGAGGATTATGGCGAGACAGAAGTTGATGACCAGGAGGAAGGACCGTGTTCCGTAGACGTTGCCGAACCCGAGGATGGTGACGGTTGTGCGGCCAGGTTGCTGCGTGGAGGTCGGAGATTTGCTCTTGGCCTCAGGCTCGGAGTCACCTTTGTTGACGTCGATGCTGACGCACGGCTTGGAGTATATATACCCAGTCATGCCAGCCGCAAAGGCCAACGCGAGCACCAGCTGAGAGACGAACACGCGGATCGTCTTCAGGGTTTCCTTGCTCACTGGCAGCCATTCGCCATCGTCGGCGCCCTCCAGCATCCAGAAGACGGACGTGAGGACCAGCCCGACCCGGAAGCCATATCCGATCCAAAGCGTGGCGATCCCCTCGTAGGACTTGGACCCAGCATAGAAGCCCTTGACCACGGTGGGGAGGACGAGCGCGACGATGAAAGGAATCGCAAGCTGCCACGGGGCCGAGGTCGACGAAGTGGCGCTGGCATAGTACGTCGAGCGGCAGAACGGCATCTGTTCTTCACGACAGAGACGCGAGAACGAAGCGATGCGTCCGAGAATGATGAAGAGGATCGAGTGGTAGACTCCTAGCACGCGGTCCGCGGTCGACTTCTGCCGCATGGAGGAGATACCCGCGACGGCGCCGAAGGTGGAGAGGAAGAACAGAAGGATGTCGTCTTCCCAGATCGTGTACGAGTTGGAGGCAAAGCCGATGGACTGGCTGACAGTGAACACCAACGCAAGCCAGCCCCATAGGGAGTTGGGGAGCGGCAGTGTCAAGCGCGATGGGGTGCCGAAGATCGCGAACGAAGCGGCGACGATGCTCCCCGAAGCAGCAATCAAGGCGGATGCTTCCACTGCCGGCATGTCCAGCACCTTAGTGACGGCGAGCAAGACACCAGCCACGGCGCCCACGCCAGAGCCGATTCCAGCGGAGGAAAGCAGGGGCGCGGTAAGCTCCGTGCGGTCCGCCTTCATGCCTCGCGCATAGAACACCAGCAAGGCTACTCCCCCGACGAGAACTGCAACACCCTGCAGCATGCTCGGAATATCAAATTTCGCCCACAGCCCACGGCAGATATCCAAGGTGCTGCGCTCGTACTCTCGATACAACTGGTAGGCAGCCGCCACATTTGACTTTCCACCCTTTGCCAGAGTGTTTTCGGCCGCCTCCCAGAGCCCCAGCGACTTGTATTCTTGTCCCTCGTCCGCACCGTGGCTCAGAGCATACGCGTGCTGGTATCTCTTGATCTGAGCCGCGGTCAACCGGTTAACGGTCATCAAGTTCTTCCAGTCGTTTCCGCTACGGCCCGCGAAGGCCTCATCGATCGGCGCGCCCAGGTTGTTGAACGGAATCGGCATTCCAAGCAGCAGCGACAGGGTCGGGACCAGATCGATCTGAGGGACAAATCGATCGCGGGCAAAGCGGGGCGGCACCACCGCTTCGGTGCTGGTGCGGCCGAATATACCCTTCTTCGAGTACATCCATAACGCTGCCTCGACTTCGTCGCTGGATTCGCCGCCATGGTCCCCCTTCGAGTCCATGCCGTGGTCGCCCATCACGACCAACAGAGTATCGTCGTCGATCTTGGCGATGAGTTCTCTGATGACTTGGTCCATCTGCCGGAGCTTTGCACCCATCGCGACGTGGTTGGGGCCATAGCGATGGCCCGCATGGTCAACACCCAAGTAGTGGCCGAAGATGACGTCCCATTTGGTCGAGTTTTCGCGGCTCAGGAGGGGAAACAGGTTCTCTGTCACGCCGTTATCGACAGTGTGCAGATCCCAGACGTTGAACGAGTCGAACGCCCGGGTGAGATTGGCATCGAAGTAGCCGGGGAAGAGCGCGTGCCAGGTATCATCCCCCAGCTGGACCAGAGTCTTCCCCGCGGCGCGGAGCTGAGCGACGAGGTTGTCCTCGTCGATCGCGGTCCCCGCAAAGTTGGAACCCGCGTCGACAAAAGTCGGCAGCGTTCCGCTTGTCAAACCCTTGAGCCGTTGGAGGGTTGTGGTGGGGGGGTCCGCGATGAAGGGGAGCAAGAAGGCGTTCTCCGGCGTATTGACGGCGGTTTCGTACAGGACGGGGATGTTGTCGTGGAACAGATGCGCCATTTCACTCTCTGAACTGGGTGCGAAGGGCACCGTAAAATCGTATCTCAGAGCATCGATGATCACCACCACAGCCTTGTCGAATGTCTTGGGATGCCAACACCCTTGGTCCGCACCGCGCGTAGCGGACTGCGCCGATGGGTCGGCATACGGTAGCACCTCACAAGACGATTTATTGTCCAGCACCATGCGCGTCAACAGAAACCCTTTCGTAAAGAAAAATATCCCAACCACGTGTAGAAACCTATATTCATCCCCACGAGTCAGTAGAAAAAATTAAAAATAAATAAAAATAGAAACATTCGTCCGCAAGGACACGTGGTGGAGGGAGCGCAATCTCACAAAATCCATCCGAGTACCCCCATCAACCCAAAGTGTTTAGATTTAAAATCGCGTTCCATCCCATTCATGAAATCTTCCTGTTTGAGACTTCCTTTCCCAGTCTGGGGTTGCATCCCCGGCGGGATTTTCGAACCCGGCGCCCTCCGCGGAACGGTCGGGTCGGCGGTTCGCGACAACGGCGATCGAGAGGACGACAAGCCATTGAGATCCGGGCTCGCGAGGCCTGGCCCCGAATCGAATGGAGAAGCCATCGCAGGTGTATCCTTTTTTCCCTCCGAAAGGTTGATGTGATCGCGCGAGAAAATTGGTCGTGGTGAGGGGCCCACCAGCGCAACGCGGCGCTCTTAGGGTCACGTCGCAAAGACTGATTGACACCGGGGTCGTAGAACGCGAGCGTTCAGGTTCAAGCGCACTGGGGGGTCAACAAGAGACTCATCGAAAGGGCCGAATTGCGTGCGGTGCGGGGCTGCTCCAAAGTGGACAACGTTTCCAAATTCCGTTTTCCGTTGGTTTTCTCGGTATGAGTTTATTTTTCCTTTCAGGAGCTGTGGGACTGGGGGGTGGTGGAGGGTGCTCCTTAATGGGAAACTGGGGGTTCAAACCGGACACATATTTCACAATTGCATCCAGGTGAACACGATGGCGATGGGGAGGAAGTACTCCGCGGGAGGACGACTAAACGTGTACTTCTCCAAGCGGGATGCTAGGAAGAAAGAAAGAAGCAGAAGCAGCTAACTAAGGAGTACCGATAGAAACCCCCCAAAAACCCTCCGGGCTCTCCGTGACGTCGGCGCGTTCGGCAGCTAAGGTGCGAATTTGCCCGCTGTTATTGGCCCAGACGGTGTCGGAATTTCCAGAAACCCTGCCGAGTGTGGAGCCTTTGCCGATCTGGGAGGGAAAAGTGTCTGTGGACTTGGCGCTATGCAGCAATAGGTCGTGGATGGGGTGGAGAACAGGAGGGCTCACGCGGTGGTAATTGACCCTGAGAGAGAGTCGATCAATTGACACAGACTGTCCTGCAGACCGCATTGAACCTGCAGTGGATTCGGTGTCGAGTCGCTATTCGTGTCACGTGATATACCATATCCAGTATCCATGGACTGGGATTCTCTCAATGGAATATAGGGGATGGGAATACAACGGTCATCAATAGATGCTAGTATTGTGTAATGTCTAAATACAGGATATTCACCTCGGAGCGTTCTTCCTCTTGGATAGAGTGACCCCACAGGTGCTAACACGCAATAGGTATACCCAACATATACAAAAAGGCAAGGGCACCGATGGAAAGTGTGCAAAAGAAGCAATGTACCGGGTCGTGACGAGTATCATAAAGTAGATGAAGGATACTGATTTGCACTGGTCTATCCCAGGCAAGCTGAATCGAGTATGAAAATGACAGAAATGGTCATAACAATGACTGGCTAGAGGGCACGGATATATGTATAGGTGATAGAGGTATGCGATAGAGGCATCGGGTAGAGACCCAAGACAAAAGTTATCGAACTGACTAGGCCTTTCCCACCCCGCCATCGCCCATAGCGACCCCCACCAAACTCTGCGGCTCGCCAGGCACCGTCTCCGGGGACCGGGGGGATATCGGGCTCGCGCTCAGTACAGCATCTCTCTCCCGCTTGACGCGGAAGAACGCCAGTTTCGAAAACCGGTTGAGTTGCGCCCAGAAGTGGCGCCCAGCCGCGTGGACGGAGATTCGCTCCAAGAGAGCGGCAGTGGCTTCACGAACGGTGCGGTCAGAATGGAAGAGACCCATGCTGATGTAGAACAGTCCCGCTTGGTTTTCGGGAGTCACCGTGAGGAGTTGGCAGATCCCGGCGTAGTCTTTTACGGCATGCGAGAACGCAATATAGACGGCCCCGGCGTCCGGCGCAGAGAGTTTCAAGGTCCGCAACCGATCGTGGTGATGATGCAGATCCGGTTTCTGGATGGGACGTGCGGGGAAATACATCGCCGCGATGTCTTGGATGAACGAGTAGTAGGATCGTGTCGAGCGCCAGCCCTCGATCCTCGAGACCGATGCCATCAGTTCGCGCTGCTTGGACCCTTCATCGGCCCATACGTAGCCGTGACCGCGGAGAGTCGTCGGGTCCAGCGGATCAGCTTGGTGGCCGCTCGGGCTTTCCGGCGACAGCTCCTCATTAGGTCCGATAATGTAGAGGTTTGAGGCACCGTAGACGGTCTCTTCAAAGGCCGCAGCGATCCGCGTGAACTTGGTAATGTAGGCGCGCCATTTGGCCCGGATGGCATTTTCACCATACCGGTTAGTGATACTGCGTTGGACATCCTCCATGAACAGATTGTCCCCCGTCGGGTCTGTGTGGGACGTGTGGTGGTTGTAGGTCAATGGTGTCTGTTGCTGGAAAAACAGCATGCCTTCGGTGACCGGAGCAGCTTCAACGTGACTGCTGATCTTCATCCGACCCGTGGGCAGGTCGCAGAGAAGATCCCACCATTCGGGATGGTTGGCAAACGTCGGGTTGGTCACTCCGGCAATGAATCCCGGTACTTTCAATAGGTCATCAATCTTGGTGAGATCGGTGTACGGGAACGCGTGTCTGGTGAAGCCGCGGAGGATCCCGCCGGACGCGAGAGCACAGGCTGCTAGGACCGCTTCGGCGACTTCTCCAGAAGGACGGTTGTGTCCCAGGAACACGACCCGTTTCTGTGTGAGCATGGCGTTGACAAGCACAATGATCGGGTGGGTGTAGGCGCCACTGGTGGTCAGGTGAGAGTGGAGAGGGAACGGCTGGGGGTTGGTAGAGTGGGGAGCAGAGAATATTTGGACGAGTTTGATGAGAGAAAAGTCTCCCACAATCTCGGGCCAGATCAGAGTCGGCACCTTGACCGGGATGGGAATATCATGGTAGACGACCTTGGACTCAAACTCGTGGGTGTCGCGCGGCAGTACGTATCGTGGAGCCAGTTTCCTGGGAGAGGGTGGACACTCATCATCGTTGGGCTCCCCTTCTTCCGCCATGCGCTGCTGGATCATCTTCTCGAATTTCTCGATGAAAATGTCCTTGGAGTTGCTGGCTTGCAGAATTGTCCGCTCAAGAAGCGACAACTTCGGCAGCAAAGACAGGTCCATGTTGTTCACGGCTTCATACAGCGACGCCAGCGTTTCTGGATAAGGGGATTTGAAATAATCCTCCAAAGCTAGAAGCAGTAAAGGCTGAACCGTGTTAGACGAACATCCTTTCTGAGTCGGGAGGGAGAATCACCTTATATATGTGAAGGAATGAATGCCGCGTACAGATCGCCATGGATTTCACAACCGCACCACTGTAGACCTGTCAGCCACCATAATCGAATGCAACTGAGAGATTCCAATTGGGGAACGTACCGCTTGGCTGTGTTGTCCTGTTTTGTATTTACAAGATTGAGCACATACATCAAGGGTGGCCCCTCACCCCCCTCTTCGTCATCGCTGCTTTCATCGTCATCGGACGCCTCCTCCGCGTCTTCGGTTGGAGTGCCATCGCCCTCGCCGTCCTCCTGATCGTTCCTTTTTCCCTTTCTCTTCTTCTTCTTCTTCTTCTTCCCGGAAGCGGAATCGTCATCGTCTCCGTCCGCGCTGGTGTCCTTGTGTAAAAAGAAGATGGTCCAGTCCTGACTTCTGACGTGAGTCTGATCCGGAAGCATCAGTTCGGCCAACATGCTCTCATCCCCACTGATAGGCGTCGGGTACTGATGTTCCATGATCGGTCCCCGATCAATATGGAACGAGGCCACCAGGATATATTCGACATGGCGCTCCGAGGAATCGCGGGGGTATTGTGACTTGCATCGTCGGGGCGCAGTGCTCGCCCCAACACGATCGACGGAGCGGCGACGCACCGACGTGTGCGAACTGCTGGGAGACCGAGTCTGGACGAAGGACGGGGATGGTGAGAGTCGAGGCAGGCCGTTCGTCTTGGAAGATTTGGTCGGCGAATGCGCGGCATCGTCCGAAGACCGGAAGGGCAGCGACAGGCTCATTTTGGGGCTCGGAGACAAGGGTGGACCGGTGGGAGAGAGGGTATGTGCCATGTGTGCGATTGGATCTCGATCGGCACCAGACCGATCGGTGGGCTCGTGGTTATGCAGCAATATCAACCTAGATCAGAAGCAGGAGTGCCGCATACTCCACCTAGCGATTCGGATAGTGGGCGACAAAGGTCCTCGGGGGAGGGAATGTGGAGTGAATCAATTGATGACCACTGCGGTTAATCCACTTCTAAACAATTGTCCGCCCTGACTCAGGGAGCTTGCAGTAATTCCATGGCCCATTGGAGGGTGTTCTGCAGCGATCGATCGGAGGTATGTTTAGATAGCGCGTGGTCCATTCGCATCGGATTGGATTCAGGGGAAGAAACCCTGGAGGCCTGAGGCAGGCACCCCCGCGGTTTGTTGTGTTTGACAGTCCCACATCTATATAACGCCATCCCTCCACGGAGTATAAGGGTTTAGCTACTACAAATGTATAGCAAAACGACGGTGGGATACTCTGCGCACTTTTCTTGATTATATCTTGTATCAGAGAGATGGGTAGACAGAATATTGTGGTACTTCTAGCCCGTGAAACCTACCTCCAACTGTACATACCCCATCAAGCCCTATGCTAAGATTATACGTGGAGTTATGCACGAACTAACTAAGCAATGTCCAAGCATAACATGTCGCATCATGTGATTAGCATAATCCCGGTATCCCGATAAGGCCTGAGGTTTCTAGAAATTTGCTGCGTTCGGAGTCAATCTGTCCATCTTTGAAGAGAGACCAATTCCATTTGGGTCCGCGCAACTCCCGAGATATCCACCATCTCAATCTATCCCCATTCCCCAGCCAATGGACCGAGGGTCAAGGCTGCGATGAGAACCTTCCGCTCCTCGCTCCGCGCGCCGCTCCGGCCGGTCTTTCAGCAGACCCGACATTTCCACCCCACGAATTCCAGACCGTTTGTTCAAGAGGTGCTGGAGGTCTCCTCGGGTTTTGTTCATGGGGTCCATACATATAGCTGCCTTCCATGGGCCCTGTCAATCCCATTGACTGCGCTCATCGTCCGGACGACCGTCGCTCTGCCATTGCAAATATACACCAAGGTCCAAGCTCGTAGACAGCGAGACCTCATGCCTCTCCTCGATTCCTGGCGAAGGTACTACCAGAGTGAAATCAATGCGGGTATCTGGAAAACTTCTGCAAAGCCAGTCCCCCCCGCAGAGGCGAGCCGGCACCTCAAAACCAAGTTAGCTGGCAAAACGCGGGCCCTGTACCGACGCTGGAATGTGGCCCGGTTCTGGGCACCTCTCCCCTTTCTACAGGTTCCAGTTTGGCTATGCGTCATGGAGAGCCTTCGGGAAATTTCTGGTAGTACTCGTGGCCTGGTACCCTACCTCCTCTCGCTTATGCAGAGCACTCCTTCGGAAACAGGGAGCTATGGGCCCTCGGCTGTCGAGCCGTCGCTGGCGACGGAAGGCGCCCTTTGGTTTCCCGATCTACTCGCCGGGGATCCCACAGGGATCTTGCCCTTAACGCTGACCCTGTCTATCCTGTTGAACGTTCGAACCGGCTGGAAGTCGCCGAAGATGTCTGACATCTCGGATCTACCTAAAGTGGAGCGAGGGCGGCTTCTGTCGATGAAGCTGCTGAAAGGATTCGTTCAGGTTCTCGCACTGAACATCGGTGCCTCATCCTATATGCATGCGATGCCGTCTGCGCTCATGATATACTGGATCACCAGTACAAATATCGCGACTCTTCAGACCGCTCTTATGGACAAATACATGTTTGCCAAACCACCGCTCAAGCGCTGGAAAGAGATGCATATCTCATATACCGAACCCGAACAGAAGCCGTCACCCAGCAAGAAATGAATGATTATCCAGCGCTTTATGTTGACAGGGGCCTTTTGTACATTATAACTTCGATAGAGATTAGGGCAACCTCAAACATAAGCTAATACAAAGAAACAAATACATCGAACTCTCAATCCTACCTCATATCGGCAGCATGACCGGCATAGCCTGGTCTTTCCAGATGGCCTGCAACGACAAGACGTTGAATGCGGGCAACAATTAATTCCCTAGAATAAACGATAGAATATTCTATATAGTATTAAACCAGTAGCGCTGTATTGTCTACAGTAATAAGTACTAGACACACCTAAAATAACTGCCATACTTGTAAAATGTGCCATTGTTGCCACCAGATCGGTCTCTGGTGGTGGATCCGCCTTTAATTCCCGTCAATCTCACCTCCCGCATTTCCTCAGTCCCCAACCGCCAACTCTAGACCCTACAACAACCTCTACGTTCCCTTCGAACATCTGATTTCTATACCATACCTCGTCGCTGCTTTATTTCCCTGCGCATGCGAGCATTCTCCGCCCAGAGCCTGCGGTGGGTGAGCCCATGTCGCCCGTCATGGAGTCGGGTCTCCGCATTGGCGCCGATTAAAGCGCGTCCATTCCGCGGTGTCGCATCCCCAGCATTGTCTCGTCCACACATCCGACCATTCTCCGCGTCGACACCCGCGCGTTCCACATTCGATAGCGAGTCGACTATATATGCACTGTCCACGGCATCCGGGCGAGCGGCGATCGCAGTCGTACGGGTTTCCGGCCCAGCATGCGTGCAGGTAAGCGGCTATAAATATGGCTCTCCTCTCTGTCGACAGTACACCGCGACTGACGATCTGGACTTGTTTTTTATGAGTAGATTTACAACGCACTATGTCCCAACACGCGACTCCCCCGACCGCGAATGGCAGCTGTCCGCACGCTGTACGATCCAACTCGCGACCCCTCCGCGAACAGCGTCCTCGATGCCGGTGCGCTGGTGCTATACTTTCCCGGCCCGAAGACCGTCACAGGGGAGGATGTGCTTGAGCTTCAAGTGCACGGCGGACCAGCGATTGTCCGATCCGTCCTTACGGCCCTAGCGCGACTAAACCAGCCGGCGCATTCAGTCCGCTACGCCGAACCTGGCGAATTCACGCGGCGCGCGTTCATCAACAACCGTTTGGATCTTACGCAAATTGAGGCGTTGGGCGACACTTTGGCGGCGGACACGGAGCAACAGCGTCGACTCGCCGTCCGAGGGGCCAGCGATGCATTGTCGAAAAGATACGAGGAGTGGCGTCAGCAACTGCTCTTCGCGCGCGGGGAGATGGAGGCCCTCATTGACTTTTCGGAGGACCAACATTTCGATGAATCGCCCGATGAATTGACATTCTCGGTCTCATCGCAAGTGAAGAAACTGCAGGCGCAGATTAGATTCCACATCCAGAACGCGTCGAAAGGGGAGTTACTGCGCAGCGGGATCAAAGTTGCGCTTCTCGGAGCTCCGAACGCGGGCAAGAGCTCTCTCTTGAACCAGGTCGTGGGCAAGGAAGCGGCCATCGTCAGCACCGAAGAAGGCACCACGCGGGATATCGTGGACGTGGGCGTGGATCTGAGCGGGTGGTACTGCAAGCTCGGGGACATGGCTGGGATCCGATCGGAATTGGGCGGGCCTGCTGGACAGGGCCCGTTCATCATCGGCGCAGTGGAGCAGGAAGGGATCCGTCGTGCGAAGGCGCGGGCGTTGGACTCCGATGTGGTCATTGTGGTTCTCTCTCTGGAGAAGCGGCCTGACGACCCGTCGCTGTACCAACTCTCCGTAGAGCCAGAAGTGGCCAGCGCTGTTCACGACTGCACCCAGGCCGGAAAGTGCGTCGTCGTCGCAGTCAACAAATGTGACCTACTGCCTCAGGAGGACCGGAGTGGACAAGTTGCCCGGCAATTGACTGCAGCAGTCGGCATCCATTTCCCAGATGTCCCTGAGCGACGCATCTTCTTCATCTCCTGCAGCGAAGCCCAAAAGGGCATATCCATGGACCATTCAGACCCAGGCCAACTACAAACCTTCCTCCGAGGACTGGTCACGACATTCGAAGAGATCACCTCACCCCTGGGAGGAGACGACGGCGAGGCCGGAACATACGACGCTTCCTACTGGGAGGATTCACTCGGAGTGACGCACCGGCAGAGCGCTAATTTAGAAAGGTGTTTGCGCCATTTGGATGACTTTCTCGACGAGGCTCAACCCCAGAGATCTTCTGTGGACCCCACCCATGGAATGGAAGTGGACATTGTGACCGCCGCTGAACACCTCCGGTTTGCGGCTGATGCTCTGGCGAAGATTACTGGTAAGGGCGAGAGTGGGGATGTAGAGGATGTGTTGGGTGTTATTTTTGAGAAGTAGGTTCCCCTCTTATTGATGAATATTGGAGTATAGCTAACGCCTGGTACAGGTTCTGCGTTGGGAAGTGAACATTTTGGCTACTTGGGTTATTGGAGTTACTGCATGGCATTGCATTTGAAGCGCTAGACCCACTGTATAGTACTTGAAACCATCCTGGTTCTATATAGCGTTAATACCAGGAATACATGCATCATTCACATGGCTAGCAGTCGCCAATTCATACCCTCATCATACGGACTACGGCTTGTGTGGAAGCATATCTCGAAGCAATTGAAGAAATAATTGGTATCCTTGCATTTATCGACAATCATCTTGGTCATCACTCATATCAGCAACGTCTATCTATGTAGACAAGTCCCAAACAGCCAGAAAGATTGGTGCAGCAGAATGAAGTTATTCGTCCTGCGTCACCGTCATATCCAAAACCTCCACTCGCCCCCTACCCCGAGTCTCATTGCCCACAAACTCATTCAACCCTTTGAAGGCCCCCGGATCCGCAAACCCGACCACCTCCCACTCATCCCCCATCACCTCCTGCGTCTCCACCGACTCAATATAACTCAGGACCTTATCCTTGACAGTTCCCGGAGCCTTCGCCGCCGGCACCGGCAGCTCGGCATCCGACCCCTCATCCGACTCCTGATGCTTCCCCGATTTCTTCGACCCCTTCGCATTCTTCTTGCCAGTCTTGGGATTCGACTTCTGCCCCCCACCCTCCTTAGCCTTCGGCGCTCCCTCCGCCGGCCCCGCCTTAACACTCTGCTTCAGCAGCGCCACAGGACACGAAACCCTAAGACGCATGCGCGCGCGCATCACCGGAATCGGCTGCCAAGCAATCAAAGCCTTCATCGCCTCGAGCGCCTGAATCTTCGCAGACTTCTTCTCAACAACACCCGTCCACAACGGCTTCTTCGGCCGGGCCTCCTCCGCCTCCCCATCCCCATCCTGACCCTGAGTCTGCAACTGCCCACTAGCAGAACTAAGCTGATCCAGCGCCTTGGCAATCATCCCAGACGTGTACACGCGCTTCGTATTCGGATCAACCAACCGGCCGGAGACAATATCCAGCATTTCGCGCTCCACGCGCTCGATGATCTCCTTGCGCTCGCGCTCGCCGACCTGCACCTCGCCCTTGCGCAGGATCTCCTGCCGGATCTCGTCGGAGGAGACGTCGCGCCCGAAGGACTTGGCTAGTTCGGCGGAGGGGGCTGTCTGGGCTTTTGAGACGGAGAGGAAGATTGTGGGCACTTGGAGGACATTGTCGAGGTCTTTTTCGGCGCCGGAGCGGTATTCGAGGAGTTTATTTTTGTAGCAGGCTAGTTCGAAGCGTTTTTTACCTGGGGAGAAAATTATGGTTAGCGGGGTAGGACTCTTTCTTTCTTTTTTTTTTTTTTTTTTTTTTTTTCTTCTTTTTTTTTTCTCCTTCTTCTTCTTCTTCTTCCCCCTCTGTTTCTTGTATCCTTCCTATACTGGAGCGAAAATCATCAATCAACGAGATATAACTAACCCTTTTTTAAACGCACGATTGATACGTTGGTAAATTTGATCTGGTTGGAGGGTTGTTGGATAGGCATATTGATGTGCGTCCCAGACGCGAGGTTCGCAATAGTTTACAATACGAGATAGCACTGCACGGTAGACAGCGAGAAGAGATAGAAGTAATATGGGTCAATAAACTAAGACAAGAGGTTGAAGAGAGATGGCTAATCCGGTTCTCGCGATGACGCTGGATTTTCCGTCAGGTGACTCACCGATAAGCCTCGATAAGAAAAGATGAGTCATCCAGATCTAGAACGCGCACGGGCGGTGATTGGCTGGCCGGGGCCCAGACTGCCGCCCAAGTCAGTGACTTCTTCCCACTGAACGTACCTGTACCATTGCTCGACACTGTTGAAGGCACAGGACCGGTCTACGGAGTACTGTGGAAGTATTAGCCTGTTGAGCGGTTGGTGACTCTTACCGGATCGATTCAACCATGCGCCATGAGCAAGCGTTCGTTCGAAGAGTCATTGTCCAGAGGTGGCTCGCAGCCGCCGGAACATATCGATAACGCGCAGAACAGATCATTGCCGATTAACGACCTCCTCTCGCCCAGTCAGGAGCAGTATTCGTCGTCGCAGGGCAAGAGACCGCGCAACTTCATCGCCACAGTGGTAAGTGTCTGCTAAAATTTGCCTTCCCCGCACGCGTTGAGGCGACCCCGCGGACAGATCTGACGGATGTGATAGGCGTGTGAAACATGTCGGCTGAAGAAGACCCGGTGCGACGAATCGCGCCCAAAGTGCGGACTGTGTAAGGCACTGGGTCTGGAATGCGTCTACAATGAGCGCAAGTCCTCCAAGTATGTCTTGTCCCCGCACGGATCCGTGCGTCTCCGCGACTGGCTGCTGACTGGCGACATAGGCGGGATCACTCGCTCAGCTTGATTATGAGCACGCTCCATCGGCTGGAGACTAAGCTGGAGAACATCCCGTCGGCGATCACGAAGGATGTCCGGTCCCTACAGGGCCAGCTGGGCCGTGGTCTCGATCATCCGTCAGAAGGGAACACCCCGAGACCGGGCACGACTCATGGCGTCGGCAAGCCGCCGACACCTGCGCCAAATGACCTGGCGCAGGGTCTCACGCCGGACGAAGCGGAACCGGATGACTTTGAATTCGACGAGCAGGCCCATGTGCCCAATCCCAACGGACAGGTATCCATCTCCTTCAGCCAGCATGGTGTGATTCTCTGGCCGGGGGCTCGCTCGATCCTTCCGCAGGTGCTTCTCGAAGCCCACGAGAGGCTGGGGAAGAATTATGTCATTGATCTGGAGATGAAACGGCCCCAGCTGATGATGTACACGACGCCCTTTCCGGTGCAGGCGGGAGAAGACTGGCTCGAGGCCCTGCCGCTGGCTATGATCAAGGGGCTCTCGGATGCCTTCTTCGCGACGTTCAACCCGTTTACCCCGATTATGGACAAGAATTTCTACTTCACGTTTACGCTAGGCGCCGCCATTGGGAGTGGGTTTGGGTTCACGATGGAGAGTTGCCTCGTCCTCAACGTCCTGGCTTTGGGCTGTCTGGCGGTCCAGGCCCACCGCGAAGGGAACTACCCGCTGCCCGGGACACGAAGCGGGCGATTCGAACCCCCCGAATGGATGGACGTGATTCATGAAGACCCTCCCGGGCTACGATTCTTCAATGAAGCTCGCCGGCGCATCGGGTTTCTCATGTGTCACAATGATATCCAGAGTTGCCAGTTCTACCTCTTATCTTCGTATGACCCCCATGGCTTGTGGCTTGACGAAACGGTGGCTAACTGTGCTGAAGTGTATACTATACCCAAATCCTTCGACCCATGGACTCGTGGGCGATGCTTCACCGCGCCGCCACGTCTTGTCTTTCAATGCTGACCAAGTAAGCACTGTATCTCCCGAGACCCTTGACCATGCTGACAGTATCAGTCACGATGTCAACTTCAACGAGTGGGAAGGCGACATGAAGTCTCGCGTATATTGGAACTGCCTGATGAACGAGACGATCCTAGTCCAAGAATTGCACCTCCCCCCAAGCGGACTCGCCCGACTCGAAGAGTTCGTGCCTATTCCCAAGTTCATCAGCTTCGAGACCGTCGGCTTCGTATCCACCCGATCATCGTCGTCTTCCGATGAAGTCGACGATTCCTACTTCCAGTACCACTTTCTCGCGCAGGTCGCACACCGCATCATCCTCACTCGAATCCGCCACTCACTGTATTTCTACTGTACGTTCAGTCTAGTTTCATAAAAAGCCCCCCCCCTTTTTTCAACCTATGCTAAAGAATACCCTATCCAGCCGACACCGGAACCTTCCCCCTCCCCGCCATCAACGCCGAACTCCACCACCAACTCGATCAATGGCGCCTCAACCTCCCCTCCGTCCTCCAATTCCCCGACACCCTCCCCACGACTCCAGCCGCCGTCTCCACCACCGACCCCAGCAAACCCGCCCCATCCCCATCCCCAATCTCCCCCACCCCCAAAAAGACACCCACCAGCACCACCACCGCCCCCTAACCCCAGCAACAGCCATCTCCGAAGCAATGCTCCGCGGCCGCTACATGATCGCCAAGTTCCACATCGGCCGACCCTACCTCTACAAAGCGCTGCGCATCCCACAATGCATCTCCGACGAAGACCTCGAGCAGATGCGCATCGGGCTGCGAAACGCCATGAATTGGCCTATCGTGGGGGGAATCTTCCACTCCATGAAGAGCTGCATTCCGATCAAGTTCGCTTTTTGTTCGCAGTATGTTCCACTTTATATCCCTATAAACGGCAAATCCGCCAATTAGACAGTCAGACTAACGCTATGTAGGTTCTTCGGTCAAATCCTCCTCTTCTACTGTATATCGCACTCCCACGATGCGCGCCTGCGGAGCACGCTACCCACCGGCTGGGAGCAGTGGAGTCAAGAGATGATGCAGTTCCTGGAAGATTGCGCGCCTTATAGTCCGGCTGTGGCGCAGGATTTGGAACTGTTGCGGCTTTTGTAGTGGATTTGTGGGTATGGTAGATAGATACCTAGTCTGCCAAAGTGAGGTTGACTATCGGGCTGACTTGCTCTGGTCAAGTGAGAAGTGTACGAATATTGCTATCAACTAGTCCATGGTGTTCCTGAGAACAACGCCTGATGATAACATATACGATATCAAGATAGATGGATAGATACGATTGTAAAAGCAAGTAACTGTGTCGTGTCAAATTGTTAACCCAGATGGGGTGGATATATCGTATAACTAACTAGAGCATGAAATAAATGACCGTGGTCGAATGTTGAATCTCCCGTAACTCCGCGGCATTAATGGGAAAGAAGGATTGTCAGACATTCACACATCTGTGTTTGAGATGGCGAAGAGATGTCTGTACAGTCCCAAAAGAAGCAAGAAAAGAAATAAAACCAACACATCCAAATCACGCCAGAACCGTTCTCGAAAGACTCCATAGTAGAGCTCTGTCGCCACATACACCATACCATACCAGACCAACACATACCGCTGAATCAAAGAACCAATAACAAGCGTAAATCGTAACCAAATATCAATCAAAAACAAAAAGGAAGTGAAGAGGAAAGGAATCATATCAAATCATCCTTCCCCTCAGCAGCAACCTCCTCAATCGCCTTACGCACCGCCCCCACAGCGAACGCCGGCCCCTGCCCATCACACTGCGCCATACCCTTCAACCTCCCGGAGATAGCCTCAATATCAACAAGTCCCTTCTTGAACAGCTCATGTTTCTGGATAAAGTCCCACGTCGCACCGGCATCAAGAAGCCTCTCGCCCGTAATCTTGCACACGGCGATACGGTGGCGCGGGGAAGCGTCCTCCCCATCGGCACCCCCATCGGACGAGAAATCTGTGGGCCTATACTGCATTGGGCCCGTGGTTGTGGCGGTCGGCGGTGGTGAGGGCCGGCTGGGGTCTCGGGCGTCGAGGGATTGGCGGGAGGTAGCGCGCAGGATCTCATTCTCGGTGCTGAATCTGGCGAGGTCGTGCTTGAGACGCTCGTTCTCGGCGAGGATGGCGCTGGATTTGTCTTGGAGGGTGGTGACTTTGTCTTCGAGGTCGCGCACGTGGCGCTCTTTGCGTTCGCGGAAGGCTCGTTGGCTGTTTTGGGGAGAAGAAGGTGGTGTTAGTTTTGTTGTCTGGCTCTGGTTTGTAGTATTGGGTTGGTGTTGTAGGGGTCTTACGCGGCGCGGTTCTGCGCTTTGCGCTTCGTCTGCGCCGGCATAGAGGTGTCCTTCTCTTCGCTGCTGCTGGGTCCTAGACCCCCAGCTTGGTCCTCAGTGCCATCGAGGGATGTCAGTTCTGTGTGGCTGTTGCGAAAATCATTGCTAGAGGTGGACTGTTTCGAGAAAGACTCCGGGGGCGATTGTGGCGGAAGGGCGTAGGACCCCGCGGGCGGCTGAAACGATGGGTCGAAGGTTTGATAGTTCTGTCAGCGGTCAGCACTAATCTCATCCTTATATTGGCGCGACAATCATCCCATGAGGCAAGGCGCACCAATGAAGCTAGAGTCTCCTGGATGTCATCGGGGCTCGAGATCTGGTTGTTCTGGTCGGGGGGCGCTGCTCCATTGAACCCGTAGAAGGGCGGGTACTGTTGAGACTGCGGGTTCGAGTAGTACGAGTAGTCCATTTCGCGACCTTTGATTCAGACGAACTTCAATCGATGGTGGAGGATGAAAGGTGGCGGCAGATGGAGAGATTGAAGGAGGACGGAGGAGAGAACCATACATGGCTGGACCGCCGTCAATGCGATAGGCCTGCCTCAGGCGGAGAATTCATCCCCCGCCCATTGCGGTCAACTTTCCGCCCTACGACTAGATTTATTGTATTGATGCGGAGACTGGTAAGCTGGTCATATGTAAATAAGAATACCCTCGAACTATAGAAAGTAATAAAGCAGAGGCGAGTCTGTCGATCGAGTCGTGAGACGAGTCAGTCTATAGAGCGATTATGTCATCCGCCTGCTGTTTTGTCGGAGATATCGCGGGGTTCTTTCTTTTCACCTCGACCACCATTCGCATTCTCCTCTGTAACTGAACGTCTGCCAACCAATATGGAAGAATTACTAGCCAAACACCGCAAGGAGCAGAAAGACCTCCAAGCTCGCATCACGCAGAAGAAGAAATCCGCATCGAAGAAGACGCGCAAAGGAATCAACGACGAATGCGACCGCCTCCAACGAGATGTCTCCGAGCGACACCAGACAGAAATCGCCCAGTTCAATGGAGAATCCACCGAGCCCGTCAACGGAATCGAAAACCTGAGCATCGACAATGACGACGACAGCAAAACCACAGACAAAGAAGACTCCGCCACCTCCTCCCAGACGCCGACAACTGATTCCCCCGCCGACACATCATCCGCCTCGCAATCCTCCATCCCCCGCCAAAAGAAACCCAACCGTCAAAAGGCACGCTTAGCTCGTCGCGCTGCGGAGCAAGCCGCTCAGTCAGAAGTCGCCGCGGAAGAAGCCTCGAAACAGACCGACCACCGCGGGAACGAGCGAGAAGTAATGGAGGGTGTATTCAAGCGTCTCGGGCTGAAGGAGATCGAGATCAACCCTGACGGACATTGTCTATACTCAGCGATAGCATGCCAGCTTGAAGGGTCCGGACTCGGACTGAAGCCGGACCCAGAGCGGATGCCGCTGCAGGGACCGACGCAGGCGCGGGTCGAGAACGTCGCGTCGGCTCAGCACGACGGCTACCGCGCGGTGCGGGCAGTGACGGCGGACTTTATTACCGAACACGCGGACGATTTCCAGCCGTTCATGGAGGAGCCTGTCAGCCAGTACACCCACAAGATCAAGCTCACGGCCGAGTGGGGAGGCCAGTTGGAGCTCTCTGCTATTGCGCGCGCGTACGGGGTCGATATCAATGTTATCCAGGGAGATGGGCGCATCGAGAAGGTTGAATCTGGAGACTTGGAGAAGTTGGATGAGGAGGAGAGACGCAAGCGCGTTGTCTGGATGGCTTACTACCGGCATACGTATGGCCTCGGAGAGCACTACAATGCGCTTGTGCAGAAGACTTAGATCGGGTTCTTGCACGGATGACGGTGTATGTGGACGGGCTGTCGAACAGAAGAGAAACATGATGACTTTTCAAATACCTCCCGAGAGGTTTGAATAGAACCACGCTGGTTGTTGGTTCTGTGTCCTCACTTCTGTCGTGCCGGGGTAGATCACATATGAACTGCTCTGCTCGTCTCGGGTATATCTACTGCTCATACCAGACTTAACCGTTACCGTGTCCGCCTGCTCAGGTGACTTTCGTACGGTCCGTCTCGTTCAAAAGAGTGTGTCTGAGCAACACGTTAATGGTTTGTGATCCCGGTGTCAAAACTCGACATGATCAACCCCACGATACGCCTCTTCGAATCGAGCGCACAAAGTACAACAGCCTCTACTCTGGGGCAAATCCAAAATCCAAATATGGACTGTGACAAAGCGCCAGGGATGTAAATTCAACCACTTCACATTCTTATAAAGCTACATCGACATATTTATAGAGACTAGAAGCATCATGGACCGGAGTACTATGCTTATATAGAGTATATTATATTATGCATATGCAAAGATAAATCAAGTTATTTCCCCGAGCTATGATATAGGATATGTATATGCCTGAATAGATGATAAAATTAAATAGATGCTTTCTAACTCCAGCTCTTTGGAACCCATGGGTATTTCGGATCGTCCAATGAAAAGAAAACTCCGAGAATGGAAGCATTCGCCCTCGCATTATTTCAATGGTCGCCAAAGAATCAAAAAAAGAAGAAAAAAAGAGTATACCCAGTACATCATCCAAGGGTAGAAAATCGGGCTACGTCCGTTTCGCATACTCCGGCTTCAATACCCACCTCCCCCTCCCATTGCGCCCCCCTTTCTGCAGCACAGCAATCGTCTTCAGCATCTCCTTGAACTCAGCAGACCGCTGCGGCGTCGTGCAATAGCGGTTAAAATGGTCAATGAGGTTCTGGGTGAAAACAGCCCCACCATGATTCAAAATGAAATCGCGAATCAAAGTGATAAAGTCCATCCCACTGGGCGTCCTAGCCGGCGCAGGGCTATTACTTCCACTCCGCGACGACGACGGAGTCGGCGTGCGCGCCGAGAGATTCGCAAGAAGGCTAGCTGAGGACGGGCCTGCGCCAGCTCGTCGAGCAGCGCTGCTGCTTCCGCGCCCTCCGCCAAATGGCGCACTGGTGGGGAGACGGCGGTGGTCTTCAGGTCGGCCAGCGAGGCCGAACTGGCCTGTCCATGTTGGGGTGCCGATGGGGACGGAGCGTGCGGCTTCGCTTGCGCGTCGGAGCTCGTCTGCCGCTTCGGCGGCTACGCGTTTGGCTTCTGCTTCGATGATCTTGGGGTCAGCTTTGACGACGCGCTTGCCGCCGATGATTTGGTCGTGCTCGAGGGCGGAGTGGACTCCTGAGCGGGAGAAGATGCCTTCCATGATTCGGGACTCGGATTTGTCGTCTGGGTTGGTGGGGTCTTGGTTGTTTGACTGGTCTGGGTCGCCTTGGAATTGCTCCACTGAGGAGACGCCTACTACTTTGCTGATGTCTTTCTTCTCGTCTTGGGCGGCTGATGGATTGGGTTGGGCGGTGGTGTCGTTCTTATTGTCGTCGTAGGTAACTTCGACGTCTTTGAAGATCTTGCTGGTTTCCGTCGCGCCTTGGGATTCCTCTCCGAGGGAAAATAGGTCATGCATATCGCTCAACTGGAATGTCTGGCGTTGTTTAGGGTCCTTGAGGATCTTGTTGGTGAGGAACTGTTTGAAGATTTGCCGGTGATATATCTTCTCTTCGATGGTCCCGGCTGTCATTAACCGGTAGATGGTGACTTCACGTTTCTGTCCAAGGCGCCAAGCACGTTCTCGAGCTTGGATGTCCGTGGAGGGATTCCAGTCGGGGTCATAGATGATGACTCTGTCCGCGCCGGTGAGGTTGACGCCCAGTCCTCCTACCTTCGTAGTAAGTAAGAAGACATGGATGTCTGAATCGTTATTGAATTCGTCCACCATAGACTGCCGTTGGTGAATGGGCGTGGTGCCATCCATCCGACGGTATTTAAACCCAGACAGCCCCCTGATGAACTTTTCCAGAATATCCAGCATGATTCGATGCTGCGCAAACAGCAACGTCTTATGGCCCGTTTCTCTCCAGAGCTCCAAAAGCGACTTGACGACCTGCATCTTACCGGATTTGGAACCACTGCCGTAGTTGGACAGGGAAGACTGCAGTTTGTGATTTTGGAGATCGGGATGGTTGCAGATTTTCCGTAGGATATCGACTCCGTACAGAACTTGCCTGCGCCCCCTGAGGATAGACTGCATCTCCTCTGAGCCCAGAAACGCGGTGTACGCTTGTCTTTGTATCTTGGTCAGTTTGCAGAAGAGCACCTGTTCGCTCTTTTTGGGAAGGTCCGCCGCGACATCGATCTTGAACCTCTGCAGGAGATACGGGCTAATCGCATCTTTCAGCGTCTCCGCACACTTTGCAGCTGTCTGTACCTGCAGGTTGGAAGCGTTGGCGTATCCACCCTGGCGAATAGGAAATTCGAACTGGTTTCGGAAGTTGATCAACGTCCCCAGACGCATTGGATACACAAAATCAAACAGTGACCAGAGCTCTGTCAAATTGTTCTGCATGGGCGTCCCTGACAGGATGACGCGATGCGGTGTCCGCAGTTCCTTGCAGTGTATTGTAATAGAGGTATTGGGGTTGCGGATTTTGTGACCTTCATCAAGAACAGCGCATCCCCATTCTATTGGGATCAAAAGAGGCGAGTAGGTCTGTAGACCAGAGTAGGTGGTGACCAGGACATGGCCTTCTTCCACTACTCGTTTTACGACTCTTCTGCCAGCTCTCAATCCGCTGGACATCCCACGCGAGCCAGCAGAGTTCCACTGCTCGTATAACAGCGCATCTTCTCGCCTGCTCTCGTTGCGAATATTGACCATCCCACTACCGGAGGTGTGGAGGATAGACACGCGGAATGCCGGCCACCAGCGGTGGAATTCATTGACCCATTGCTTCATGACGGTGGCGGGACACACGACAATAACTGGTTTCGACAGCTTCCCACTATAATGGAGGCCGGCGAGAAACCCGATGACTTGAATCGTTTTCCCGAGGCCCATCTCGTCTCCGATGATCCCTCCTACTTGCTGTTGGTGTAGTTCCCACAGCCACTGAACGCCCGTCTTCTGATAGTCAAACAGAAGAGGGTGTACATCGCCGGGTAGGCGAAATCCGTTGTCGAGGTCTAAATCCGGCACGGTGGGATGGGGCTTGAACCATTCTTCTGTCGTGCTGTCATCCATCTGCTCAGCGCCATCCTCGACTGCCTTTTGCTCCGCCAACACACGCTCCCGAGCGGCGCTCCGGGAACTGACCCATCCTTGAAGCCTAGATTGGTAAACTTTTTCGTTCCCATCATCTACGCCGCTGAAATCTTCTAGGTCGTCCGCGGCTTTCTTGGTTTTGCTTCGTGCAACAGGCCGTTCTCTCGTCTCTTCGGGTTCAAATTCTTCGTCTTCGGAGACTTGACCTTCCGATTCCACGTAACTTTCTGACCCATGATCTGAAGGTGCTTGTTCGGGAAAAGGCCCTAGATCTGTCTCCGAGTCTTCTCGTTCCCCAGTGACGGCTGTTGCAGCGCTGTCTTCATGCAGTTTGCGTCGCTTCGTGGCGCGAGCTGCGCCTTCCGTCGCCTTTGACTCACTCGCTTCATCGAATCCAAATCCAGGACGAACAAGATTCCGATGAGAAACCGTCGGCCGCTTCTCCAACTCCTGAAGCGCCTCGTTTTCATCACGCTCATCTTCAACATCAATGAGAGTGTCTCGAAGACTGGCAAGAGGGCCATCGCTGGAACCGGTCCTCATTTGCGAAAACGGCGTGATCTTTCCCGTCCGAATGAGATAGTCGCGACGCGATTCATGAGGCATTCGCCCCGACCCGGTGGTCTGGGGACCAGTTTCTTGATCGCGCTGCCTCCCGTCGATGCGGTCTTGTATGTCTGTGAGGTCATCTGTCAAATCCTCGTTGCGCGCCTCTAACCTTTCTAGATCATTTTGTATACGAGTCCGGGCTGACGTCCCCACCGGTTGGGAGAGACGTTGGTGTAGCTTCAGGATTTGAGATTCCAATTTCCTGGTGGAGCAATATCAACACCTACTCGGAGAGAGCAGCGACGCGCAACATACTTTTTCTCAATAATGGTCTTTTCTAGTCGTTTGTGATCCCGCTGGTCGGCCTGCTCCATGAGCAGTTTATCCGCCTGCATCCCAGTCAGAAGACCCATCATTCCAAACCCTGGGAGCCATGTACCTGGTAGGAGATATCCCTCTCGAGATCATCTTGGTCACGGATGTCGGTATGCAGCTCCCTGAGACGGCTGGCCTCGTCTGTCGCGGCGGGAATAGATTCATTTGCAGTAGTTTCTGGCGCCTCTGATTGGCCTGTATCGGGGCGATCGGCTGCCGCGACCTGCGGCCCTTGCTGAGGCGCCTGATCCTCACTCTGGGGGTCGCGCTCTTCTTCCATGATCCTTTTCCTATCTATGGAATGAATGTTAGAAGGCAAATCCCACAGACAGCGTCAGAAACTGGGATATCCGGAGCGATGGTGAGGCTGTAATCCGTGGTGAATGATGACTCGGCCTGTCGCCGCCTGGAGCGGTCAGGTGACTTGACTTGGATTGTTTGTCTTGTTTGTAGAGTGACATCATCTTTGTTGATGCTTCCAGACCGAATTCATTCTTGTCAACATAGACTTCCATTCACTGGTGAGGATTCTTGCTTGCTGATGTTAGTAGCTTGAATAGCCAGAACCACTTTCTTGGTCATCATACGCATATTGTTTGACAGTGGGCTTTGATAGCTCACTCCTCGCCAATAAAGGCATCTTACCGCTTCTATATATTTTCGCTACCTGATCTGCGATATCAGGAGTGCGAACATAGACTCAAGCTAACAAAGACCAAGGACAACCACCTTTAATTTATTGTACTGAGCAATACTGCCTCCTCTAGAGTTCCACATCTCTAATGCTACGACAGTTTACCCTGATGTGGTGCGATTTGTTGTGTAAAGCCGATAGATACTAATAAAAGTTACCATCCGCTGTGCTCCTACGAGGAGCAGATAGGTTGGGACAATGAACCCTATACTGCCTGAAGACTGGCCTCGACTAAGGAGAGTTGACTCTCCCCGCTCATGGCCAAACTGTTGAGAACTGTGTGGGAAATCCCCTGATGCCAATAGGTGCGGAAGTGTAGCCGATACACCAATAGCACGACCAAACCCTATCCATTCTCCCTACAACGTCATGTCTACTCAACCATGAAGAACTTTCAAGATGCTTCCGACCTCGTCCGCGATGACCTGAATAGCCCTGGCCAGGTTGCCCTATAGAACCACGGTTCATGCATAGATCCAGACGAAGACCCCGCCCGCGCCTGCATGACACACGCACAGAAGCCAGGAACACCTCCTCCCACCTACACCATCGCCGGTCATGTCAGAATCCCGAACTGCCCTCTGACCGACTCACGCGCCCACCCCAATCCGACCACCATGAGGCTCAGCATGAAGCTCAGCTTCCTCACCATAGTCGCGATAGTGGCACCCGTCATGGCCCTACCCGGCGACATCCATCATAGGTATCGCTTTTTCGAAATGCCCGCATCGATCGCCCTCCCCGCGTCCCTGTCTCCAGTCTCCACTGGGACGGGCCCCGTTCGACACGCAGACCAAACCAACTATTACCACCGGGTGCTGTTAAACGCAACCGTCCCTCAACCGCTACCCAATGGGACTGCCATCGGAACAGCAGCTCCTTCTCCGGGCAGGCCTCCTACCACCGCGTCCCGGACCTCAAGCTCGACTTCCTCGACCACTTGCCCTTCCAGGGTGGCTACTCTGAGGCCGATCGTCACGGGAGACATGGCGGCTGCTCGAAAGCGCTGGGCGCTCCGGAGAGGGAATCCTGAAGGCGCATGCCCGGGGACGAACCCCGACGATTATCGGGTTGAACTGCCGTTTGGTCCTGGTGAACCTGCGGGTGGCTTTCCCATCGGTGTCGGCGCACGTGCTGTCTAATAGGGCACGTGCTATCTAATAGGTGACGAGATGTGGTGCGCATCCATTGCTGGTCCGTTGGCTTGTATACAGGTTGTTAATTTGGTGAAAGGTGTTGAGAGGACGCGGTCGATGGGTCAGCTTGGTAGCGATTGGGACTTCCCAGTGTGGACTGGATCTTCTCCCGCGTGCCATGATTTGTACTGTGATAATCTGGAGGCAATCTTTGAATCTGACGATATTCTAAAGAAACAACCCCAGCAGTCTGTAGAAAAGACTTAAATAAGCCGACAGACGGCCCACAGTAAATCGGAGATAAGCCGAGTGCTGCCTCAGGACTCTTCATCTCACCGTGCCTGTATTTTCTTCAACTATCATATTACTCCCCATCTCAGTTCCTTCATACCCCATTCATCATGGCAACACTCCACGGCCCGGCTCAGGTCTTATTGCGAAGAACAGCGATCGTCGCACGGCCCCGGATCCTCGCCACAGCAGTCCCTAGAGCCAGACAGCGCCCGCTGTTCAGGGCCACAAGCACCAGCATCAAGGCAACATATTCCACAGCGCCATCAGTAAACTCCAAAGCCCCAAAAATAGACAGAAGCGCCTCCAAACTTTTCAAAACCGCAGACTCAGCCGTCGCAGACCTCCAAAGCGGCTCCTTGATTCTCAGCTCGGGGTTCGGACTATGCGGGGTCGCGGGTGAGTGGATCACCATTAACCCCCGAATCACTATTTGATACAAGAACTACCATCGTAACAAACAACTTATCCATCTATCCAGAAACCCTGATCGCAGCCATCGCGCGTCGAGGCCGCCAAGACCTGCACTCCTTGACGGCGGTGTCTAACAACGCGGGCGTACCTGACAAGGGCGGCCTCGCGACGCTCATCCAGACGGGCCAGGTCAGCCGGCTGATTCTGTCCTATCTGGGGAACAACAAAATCTTGGAGAAGAAGTATTTGGAAGGGGATATTGCTGTTGAGTTGTGTCCGCAGGGGACGCTGGCGGAGAGGATACGGTGTGGGGGGGCTGGGATTCCGGCGTTTTTTACGCCGACTGGTGTTCGTATGTATTTTCCCTTCTCATTTTTATTCTATTCTGTTTTATTTTGTTGGGGTGAGATGCGACTGCATTTGTTCTGATTGTGATAGATACATTCCTGCAAGATGGAAAGATCCCGGCTCGGCTGGACGAGTCTGGTAAGGTATTGGAGCATGGTAGAGTCCGCGAGACGAGGTCCTTCAACGGCAAGGCATACTTGATGGAGACGGCTCTCACAGGTGATGTTGCCATTCTCCGCGCTTGGAAGGCAGATGAAGCCGGAAACTGCGTATTCCGGTGAGTTGCGCTACAGTTAAAAAAAAACGGTTGGCATTGTTGACATTGACTAGCTACACTACAAAAGCCTTTGGACCCATCATGGCCAAGGCAGCCGCCCTGACGATCGTGGAAGCAGAGAATATCGTTCCAGTAGGATCTATCAATGCAAATGACGTCGATCTGCCTGGCATATTCGTGAACAGGATCGTTCCTGCGGCCGACGACAAGCACATTGAGATCACAAAGCTGCGGTCGGACGACCAAGCGAGCGAGGGTAAATATGCTCCGGAGGCTGCGCTGGTGCAGAGGAACCGGATTGCTCGGAGGGCGGCGAAGGAGCTCAAACAGGGGTATTATGTTAATTTGGGCGTTGGAATCCCTACCCTTGCGCCGTCTTTCTTGGCTGAAGACGTCAAGGTGTGGGTGCAGTCGGAGAATGGTATTCTGGGAATGGTGGGTTTCGAATTATTGAGCCTGATGATGCAGAGAGCTGAGAGAGATATAGGGCTCGTATCCTACTAAGGACGAAGTTGACCCGTATGTTCGCCTCTCCTTATTTTTGTCAGTTGCTAATCGCTTACAGGGATATCATCAACGCCGGCAAGGAGACCGTCACTCTAGTTCCAGGAGCCTCGATATTCGACAGCAGCGAGTCCTTCGGCATGATCCGAGGCGGCCATGTCGACGTCTCCATCTTAGGCGTATGTCCTACCATATATAGATACCACGGTTACAGTTAAACTAACTTCAACAGGCCCTCCAAGTCAGCGCCAAAGGCGACCTAGCCAACTACATGATCCCCGGCAAAGTCTTCAAAGGCATGGGCGGCGCCATGGATCTAATCTCCAACCCGGACAAAACCAAGATCGTAGTAGCCACCAGCCACACAGCCAAGGATGGGTCTCCCAAGATCGTGGGGGAGTGCAGCCTGCCCCTGACAGGGGCGAACTGCGTCAGTACCATTATTACGGACCTTGTGCGTATCATCCCACTAGCCTTATATGGATAGAGAAGCCACTGACACTGATCCAACCAGTGCGTGTTTGAAGTCGACAGGGCACGAGGCCAGCTGACGCTGACGGAACTTGCGCCAGGAGTGAAAGTGGAGGAGGTGCAGGCGAAGACGGGGGCTTCGTTTGTTGTTGCGGCGCAGCTGGGGCTGATGGAGTAGTTGCTGATGGTAAGCAGAGCCTCGCGTGGCTTATACATGGTATATAAATCTCTTCCTCCCTCCAAGATGACGTTAGACATATACAAACATCTAAAATTAACACGAATAAAAGTAGACAGATCTCAAAGTACGAGGGTAAATACTAGTAAAATGAGTCACGGTGACCAGTCCATTAGTGGCACGCCGACCCAAACTCTATCATATTCACGAGGGGTTCATCATCCGATATATTTCCAGTTTCCACCCAACGAGTCCTCCAGCCCCGCCTGATCTTCCATTTCCATACTTCCCGCTAACTAGTTCAGTGTCTTTCTGCCCTAACTCGGTGGCTGTCCGATCAGGTTCTTATAAGAACTCTCACTCACCATTACTACAACAATTCAAACCCACCTTACCACTACGCCACTCTACACTACACTACATCCACTATCCCATACCACATACATAAAAATGCCCAGCACCGACTGTCTCCGTACGCTCCTCCCTTCTCTGATCCATCCAATATCCCGCACCCACCACGGCAGCAAAAGAAAAAAGAGAGAGACAGAGGCACCAAGACCAACGACACGTCCGATGTCTGACGTTACTACAGAACCCCCCCTCACGCCCGAAGAGCGATCCATCGTCAAAGGCTACGGCGGCTGGACAGCCTTCATGCAGAGCTATCTCCTGAAGCCGTGGGAGAACAACGACGTCGAGGAAGCCAAGGCTATCTTGAAGGGGTTGGCGGTGGGGGAATAATTTCCTTGAATTTGAGGAGAGCAGGATTTGGAAGGAGGGCGCTTGAAGAGTGGGATTTTTATTGATCGATTTATTTATTTTTCAGCCTGTTTTTGTTAGTTCAAGGTTCGTTTGTTTGTTTGGGAAAGGTTTGCTTGTTGGATCTGGTAGCAAATGATATGTCTGCTGTGTCTCGAACTACTGGGGCTGAGGTGGGGATCGGAAATGAGGCAGGCAGGGATCGTCTGGCTGAGATCATATTGATACCATGTTGTTTTTGAATGCTATTTAGTGATTTTATTCATGTCTTATTTATTCGATATTATGGTTCGGAAATTACTGTCTATTTCTTGGCTACATTATCCTACAGTATCTACCCCGTAGAAGGTTGATTGTCCATGCAGATCGGTGGATATCAAAACGACGCTATCAAAATTGCCCAGAGAGTGGGTCAGGATGGAGATTATCCCGTCATACTACGGAGTATCCGTACTCTGTAGGACTGTAGGTCATATGCTGATTGTATTTCTTGTAAACAGTTGTCCTAAATAGGTACTATATTATATAGATATGTGTGGGTATATATGCAGAACCAAGGGGTTGGTTAATAGTGTGATTTTGTAGTTATCTGCCTGTTACTATTACCCTGTGGTGCATGTGACTCTATGATATATTCTAACAGCCCCCAGGCAGGAAAATAATTGTTTTTCTTCGTGGTGTTTGCTTTAATGAAGTTAGTCTTAGTGATGATCGACTCTTTATGTGATAGTGGGATATCTTTCTACATATATTATCCACGCGACTTCGAACCTCTGGATTGCTTCTGTCAAAAGCCTAGTACGGCATTTAAGATGTCCCTGTCCTGTCTGGCATCTTGTGTGGAAACGTATGGTGAAAATCAGCCAGAAATGGTCTATACTGATGATGTCCAGTCTTATGAAAAGGTTGCAGATGGTTGAGATACAAAATGGTCAAATATGAGGGAAAAGGTCTCTGCAGGTCAGCTGACACGCCCACTGATTGCAGGTAGTCACTTCCACATCTTTTCTCCTATCTTCGCATCCTGAACCATCCTTGATCTTTCGCCGTCCTTTCTCTTTCCCCGCAACCACAGGACACGGGTATCATATTGCTTTTCGACTCGTCCGGAACTATGTGAGTACCCAGGTGTGCTTAGATCTTTGGGAGCGTTCGTTCTAAGTGGGCCAAGTAGCGTCGTGATCTAACACCAGGCGGATATCCATAGCCACAGCATATGCGTCGCCTGAGATAGGATGTCATATCCCTGTATCAGCGACTGGGCACATTCAATGGGCATTATCCGGATTATAACAGATCCATCCTAGGATATCATTGGCGGGGAAGTACGGTGGTGCTGCGGCGACCACCGGGTTAGTATGACCAACGCATACTTTGCCTATGCATGTCTCTAGACATGTTTGTCTTCCACCTCATGCCCAACAGCGCCCACTTCGCTCGGTTGCACTAGATAGGCGGGGGATCGGGTCATCATGCGCTGGTGTGGCTGGCAAAGCGCGCTGATATGCTCACTTTCATGGACTTATTGGATGATGTGAATCAGGGCAAAGTGAGGGGCGTTTAGCGCATGCGGGAGGCATGCCGCTATATCAGATGGCAAAGCAACACATCCATGGTATATTACTGCATGGCGGGGATATATTATGGCTGTTGCCACGATGCGAGGAAGTCATCATCCTATTTCTAGGCTGGCTGCTAATCGAGGTTCTCTGACGGGGTAGGAATTACAACTCTGATTTTGCTCGTTGACTGATTCCATTGTGGGCGATTCTATCGTTGTGAACTACCGATCCAATGCCTCCATTGGACGCTCGGTCGGAGCGGTTGGTCAGGTTCTACAGAACTGTTCTTGATGGCAAGGGGGAAATCCGCAGCGTTAATGACTTCAAACGTTTTCTGGAAGGTCTGTTTCATCACAAGGACCCGAGCGAAACGATCGAGCGACTCGTCGCTAGCCCCAAGGCTCTTGATGCCCTTCGATATGGACTTCGACTCGACATAACCCCACCGTTTATCAACCAATACACGGCGAAGTTCGTCCGCTACCTAGATGATCCTAAAGTGAAACTGCTCTGCAATGGGCAATATCTGGAGCAAATCCTTCTTATCATCGCCGAGCCACGCACTGTGTGGCTAGCTTTTCGCGACGCGCTGTCCCGTCGTAAATTAGACCTGGATGGTATTCTTGCCCTGGCCTGGCTGACGACAGAGCTGCTCTCACTACCAATGTCGTCCGGTGTCGACGTCATGGCTGATGCCCAGTGCATCGTGGACGACAAGGAAATCCACATGTCCTCCTCCAGCGAGTTGCGAAATCTAGGACACAAGATCCGGTACCTTCTCCAGATGAAATCTTCCGCAACGACGACCGTACAGCTAGGGGGTAGTAGTGCGGCCGGCGGACGCCACGACAATGACTTTCCAGACTTTCGCCAAACTGCCATCCTTCCGACCGCAGACGAATTTGCCTGTGCCGAAAGACCCTTCTATTGTCGTGCCGACGAGATCCTTGAATTAGTGGGCGATCAGCGCGTTGCCGGACACATGGACAATCAGTTTCGCCTTCTGAGAGAGGACATGGTATCCGAGCTACGTGAAAGCGTGCAAGTCGCACAGGGTAAGAAGAAGGGTCGTCGACCGACCCGGCGGCTGGGGAATCTTGCCCTGGATTCAGTCGCCTGCCGAGATACGGGTAAAAGACATCTGAAACCATGTGCCGTCGGCGTTACCTGGAGGACTGGACAAGAGACGATTCGAGGGATGACTGGTAAAGACCGAAAAAAACACCTCGAGAAAAACCCTCAAATTCTGAGACACAATGCCTTTGGCTGTTTGCTTCGGGCGGACGAAATTGTGGCCTTTGCGACTATCGAACGAGACATCGAGTCGCTCGCTCTCGAGACTCCCGTTCTCAAGCTACGGGTCTCAGGACAAGATGCACTCAAGAAGTGTCTCTTATACTTGAAGATGTACAACGACGTCGAGTTTTTCCTGGTGGATGCATCGGTCTTTGCATACGAGCCGATCCTGAAACGGTTGCAGGATATGGCCATCCTTCCGCTCAAGGAAGAGCTGTTTCTGTACGAAGACGGCAATTCTGTTGGCATGTCGGGCTTGGTGCCCGGCAGCCTTGTCTCTAAATTAGAGGGAAAGGTGAACAGCGACATTTCAGGCCCCTTGGGCATCGATAAACCCGTCCAGATTGATTGGTCGCAACTCCAGTCTCTGATTACAGGTCTCACACAGAGCGTTAGCTTGATACAAGGGCCCCCAGGTATGGCCAATCTGCATAATAAATCTATCCTATCGGCCGTGGTTCTGATGTAGCAACCGGGCGACTGATTTATAGGTACCGGGAAATCTTTCATCGGCGCACTGCTAGCGAAAGCTTTGCACGATCAGACGACGGAGAAAATCCTCGTGATGTGCTACACCAACCACGCTCTGGACCAGTTCCTGGAGGATCTGCTTGACATTGGAATAAAGCACAGTTCGATCGTCCGAATAGGTCCAAAGTCAACCCTACGCACTCAGCCTCTTCTTTTGAACGAACAAAGTGCGAAATTCAAGCGGTCCCCCCAAACATGGAATAAGATCAATGCCGTTGAGAGCGATGCCAGCGAACAGGAATCTGACTTGATCACGAGTTGCGCAAGATACAAAGAAAAAGGGGCTAATGTCGCCTCAATCCTAGAATACCTCGAATTCGAAGACGAGGAGTGTTTCGAGGCCCTAAGTGTTCCTGAGGATGCGAACGGCATGACCATTGCTGGTAAAAACGGGCGGGCCATCAAAAAAGACCACCTTTACAATCAATGGCTAAAGGGCCAAGGGCCCGGGTTTTTCAAGGATTTGATCCCTTCGAGCTGTCGAGCTGTGTGGCAGCTGGACCTGCCCGCACGTCAGGAGAAGAATAGCATGTGGATCCGAGCTTTGTTGGAGGAACAGGCTTCGACGTTGGAATCTCACGCATCCCAATTCAATCGCTCACAAAGAATGCTAGATACCCTTTGGAGAGATAAGACTCGACACATCCTGGAAAATAAACGGATCATTGGCTGCACCACGACAAAAGCAGCCATGTTCTTCGATGAGATTCGCCAAGCAGCACCTGGGATCATTCTGCTTGAGGAAGCGGGAGAAATTCTCGAGTCCCACGTTCTTGCAGCGATGACCGAGAGCACCAAGCAGCTGGTCATGATCGGAGATCATCTTCAATTGCGACCAAAGGTGAACAATTACGCTCTTACCCGAGAGAAGGGGGAGGGATATGAGCTCAACGTCTCGCTATTCGAAAGATTGATCCACGCTGGGTACCCCCACACAAGACTTCGAAAGCAGCACCGAATGTGCCCGGAGATCTCGACATTGGTTCGTGGGTTGATGTATTCCGACCTGGAAGATGGTGAAAAGACACGGGATCGCCCACCACCGCGAGGCCTGCAGGACCGCGTTATCTTCATCCAGCATGAGCAGCCAGAAGTGAACTTGAACAATGTTTCCGAAAAAGGGGACGAGGGCTCTACACAGAGTAAAAGCAATCTTTATGAGGCGTCGCTCGTCTTGAAGATCGTAAAGTACTTGGGACAGCAGGGTTATGGTACTGACAGGGTGGTCGTGCTGACTCCGTATCTGGGACAGCTCCATCTTCTCAAGGGAGAATTGAGCAAACAAAATGACCCAGTGTTGAACGATCTGGACTCACACGATTTGGTCCGAGCGGGGCTGATGTCACAGGCCAGTGCTAAACAAGGGAAGCGTCCAATCAAGCTCTCCACGATTGGTAGGTTGAATCAGTTGCAGTTTCTGACTACCAGACGCTGACATTGAATGGAAAGACAACTACCAAGGCGAAGAGAGCGATATCGTCATCGCGTCACTTACCAGGAGTAACGAACATGGCAACATCGGGTTCATGGCAGCACCTGAGCGAGTCAACGTCCTCCTCTCCCGCGCCCGCGATGTTTTGATCATGATTGGAAACTCCGATACTTTCTTATCGAGTAGACAAGGGAAAAAATGCTGGAAACCGCTAGTGGATCAGCTGAGGACCAATGGCCATATCTACGATGGACTGCCTGTCAGGTGCGAGCAGCACCCCGGGACTACCACCGTCTTGAAAAATGCCAAAGACTTCGACAAGGAATGTCCAGATGGTGGCTGTTCTGAACCCTGGTACCACAACCC